TTGGAGTAGAAAAATACAGCACGGGGCACTTTTAAAATACCTAGTTACAACCCAAATGTATTGCTAGTGTGGTACAAATAACGTTAAAATCCATAGCCAGGTTTCACTATCAGTAGTTATTAAGTATGTTTGCTAAGGCTAAATATTCATTCAGGAAGTCTATTGTAATAATGTTGAAATTTGGGTGAAAATCAGCTTATTTGTTATGGGTGGGGTGATAAATTGCTCCCTGCTACCATCCTTTTGTAGAAAATTAGTATTTTGGAAGCACTTCTGTAATGAAGAACAGTGTAGTGTTGCTATCTGAGTGATTTATGGGAGTTGTTACAGAAAAATTGGCTTCAAGAATATTGGGAAATATGTGAGGAAAATCACATGACCGTAAATTTCATTTTCAGAATAATCCGAGATTGCGGCATAACGGCGCTTGTCAGAAAAGGGGAATTGTCAAAGTTATTGTTAAATGAACTTATATGCTAGGTGTTGAAATTGCATCACATTAGTGTAGATTTGGTAAATTTGTGTATATGCAACTTCATTTATTATTAGATATTAGAATACTAAACATTTAAATATTCCCTTTTAGGTCAGGGTATCGCATTGTAAACATGGCCAGCGATTGCTGAAAAAAAGTGCAGAGGAAAACCGTATGAAGTCAATTTATACATGAGGTGATTGGATGGAAGTGGGGTATTTTTAAGTAAAATAACTAATTTAAAAAGTAACACTACACTGTTTTCCTGAAGAAAATGAAATATTTCATGAGTCTCTGTGTAATTTTGACTTGGATATTTGCATTCATAAAAAGTGTATGTCAGTCCTGTGATCAGCAAGAAAATTTCATGAAATGGGGGGTAAATCCTCTCTGAAGTCATTTTGCAAAAAATTTGGTTGGGCTACCCCTATATAACAAGAACATTTTCATGTGTCAGCATTTCATTCTGCTAGAAAATCTAGCTCTTTAGCATGAAAACTCAATTTTTAAGGTAGGATTATAGGGACCAATTTCTTACTAATGTAAGTCTACGTGGAAATATCAAAATGTGAGTGTCTGACCTAAAGAGAGGGAAATTGGAACTGTCATAATTCAATTTGTAGAATTTGTCTTCATTGATACACCATGAAAAGCTGATATTTTGGAAGAATGGAGAGTATACACCTGTCTAGGTTATGAAATTTCATTATTTCAATGCAACTGTTGGTGTTACAGCAGATAATGTGTCAAGGGGGGTCAATTCTACAGCATTGTTTAGCATAATGAAAGCAAGAGTATTAGTGTTCTGTAAAAGTAATAATGGTTTGTATTTTCTTTAAACAGTGGAAATTTGAGTGATAATTAATTGTAATATTATTTGATGATGAATATGTAGACCTTGGTCAATTAAAATATTTTTTCAGATTTCAATAGAAATGCTGTACAATTGGCTATACACAGTGCAGGTTTGAAGACTTATGTATAACTTGACAGGACCTGATTGTAAGCACTTGGCCACTTTTGATGGGTGTTGCAGGTATATCACTAGAACAAATGCATATTGCCAGGTTCAAAAACTGAATATAGCAGTTGACTCTCGGTAACTCGAAATCCAAGGGACTGGGCATTTACTTCGAGAGAAACGGAATTCGAGTAACGTGGAACTGCCGCCATTACGCTGACATTCGTACATGTATATACATGTGCCTGATAAAAATGTGCACAAGAAGTAGGTTTGTTATTTTGTTAGCGACAATGCCTGCAATATTTAACCGTTGAAATGACGGTAAATCACTTACAACTACGAATTATAAATAAACAAAAATTATATCATTCAAAATTTAAAACATGTATACTAATTGTGAAACATAAACACACAATTATATTTGATTTAATTGATCATCGGACGAAAACGAAAGTAGCAACTATCGTGAACCGGAAGTACAAATTAATGTATGCAAAATGACGGAACATTAATTATACAAATGTCATTTACGTTGATAACACACATCAAATACCTAGCTGTTATTAGACTAACACCCGTCAGACTGGCACGAGTCAACTTTCTTAAAGAAATGTAATCAAATTTTAATTTAGTTATCTAACTGTTAAAAAACCAATTAAGTGCTGAAACAGATTAAAGCCATTTATACGACGTGTTAATAATACATGATGACCGTAAATTAAAAATTTCTATGAAACGTGTTAATCAACGAGTGACAACATCTCACCTTGATGTCTCCGACCTTTGATCAGTCGCTGATTTCACACTTCGACTAATTGAGATGAAAATATGTTTGGACTTTAATTGACGGGTCCAAATTTTCTTTTCGACTAAACAGGAGTCTCGTAAGGTCAAAATTTGACCTAAGCGGAGTTAAAGTACAAAGATAAAGAAGGAAATTTTCTTGACGGGACTTTAGAATTCTTCGACTAACGCGGAAATTTTGAGTAAAGCGAGTTTGACTTATTGAGAGTCAACTGTTATTAATACTAGAAATAGTCTAGGGGTGCTGTTTTTCGGTTAACTTTCGACTTTATTTAGGGGCGGACATTTCTTCGCTCGGCACTAATTTTTTTTCCATTTTGCTCAAATATTTGCATAGAATGTCACAAATAAATTGCTTCTATGTCTGTTCCCATATAAGAATGTTTTGTGTTTCATTTACAGGCATAGATAGCATAAAAGCTTCAAATAAATAGCATTTTAAGGCTTCTGTCTTAAAAATTTACTTGGTTTCAGGGCATGAATATCAACACATACTTAGAAATTGAAATCCATTGAAAAATGTAGCATAATTCAGTTAGGTAGCCTCTGAATAGCATCTTATTATGTGTGTTAAGATGCAAAATAGTGATAAAAATTTATTGTTTTCTATTTGGTAATGCATATTTACACACTCACAATGTATAATGCCATAGTTTTTTTAGACTTTATATCTGTTTAATGCATAATTGAAATGAGCATCATAATGGCCAAGGGTATAGAATTATTTTGTAGAAAAAGTTTTATTGATAAGTAAAAGTTGATCTACTTTTTGACAATCATATTAGGAACAATTATAACACAGCTTTAGTTTCTCTGATGTGTCTATAAACAGAAAAAGCACTTATTCTGGTAGATAAATGTGCACAAAGGGTGTGATTATGCACAACTTTTAGTGAATTACCTCCCTTTATTTATTGAGAAACTTAGATAAGTACATAAATTCTAGTGTCTGGGCTACCTAAAATGAGAAGAAAAATACACAATACTATCCATTCCAAGTACATTTTGGTCTGAAGAGGTGATTTACATGGTAAAACACCTGAAAGAAGGTTTCAATTGTCATATTTGGCTCCAAATGAATGCAAAAATGGCCAATAAATTGGGTGTAAGAAGTCCAAATTTTAGGCTATTACTGTGCTGTTAAGTCCAGAGGAACTTGGTTTTTCCATATATTGCATTTTTTATATCCATGTAAGAGAGAGACAAAATATATATAAAGAATTTTAGCATTTTATTGACATTTAGGCTTGTATTTAAGACTATATAAGCAAATATTTGGAGTAGAAAAAATACAGCAGGGGCACTTTTTAAAATACCTAGTTACACCCAAAATGTTGCTATGTGTGTACAAATAACGTGTAATCCATAGTCAGGTCACTAATACAGTAGTTATTAAGTATGTTTGCTAAGCTAAATCTTCATTCAGGAAGTCTATTGGTAATAAAATGTTTGAAATTTGGGTGAAAAAATCACTTATTTTGTTATGGGTGGGGTGATAAAAATTGCTCCCTGCTACATCCTTTTGTTAGAAAATTAGTATTTTTGAAGCACTTTCTGTAATGAGAACAGTGGTAGTGTTGCTATCTGAGTGATTTATGGAAAGTTGTTACAAAATTGGCTTCAGAAAATATTGAAATATGTATGAAAATCACAATGCTAACATTCATTTTCAGAATATATCCGGATTGCGGCATAACGGCGCTTGTCAGAAAAAAGGAATTTTCAAAGTTTTAAATGACTTAAGAGTGGTGAAAATGCATCCATATATAATTGGTAATTGTATATATTGCAACTTCATTTATTATTAGATATTAGAATACTAAACATTTGAATATTCCCTTTAGGTCAGGGTATGTCTGAGCTGTTGTAACATGGCCAGGCGATTGGCTGAAAAAAAGTGCAGGGAAAACCGTATGAGGCGATATTACTAGCTATTGCGGATTGTTTGATTCGGATGGAAGTCGCGAGCGTATTTTATAAAGTAACCATGGAACTATCCTATTTAAACAGTAAACACATACACATAGGTTTTTCTGAAGAAAATGAAAGTGATCTGGTGGATCGATATGTGATAGAGTGTTTGTGTTGACTTGGATATCTTTGCATTCAAGAGAGAAGGTTGTATCTGTCAGTTACCTGTTGATCAAGTGTCTGAAAATTTCATATGTACAATTTGCGTGGTTATCCTCTACTTGCTAAGTTCTCATTTATTCTGCACAAAAAATTGTTGTTGGCTACTCACCTATCACCTATACAATTGAACATGTGTTACATTTGCCATATGTGAATAGGTCCATGTAGTGCGAGTGTTTCTCTGACCTCTAAAAATTAGCTCTTTAGCATGAAAACTCAATTTTAAGGTAGGATTAGGGACCATTTCTTATAATGTAAGTCTATGGAAATATCAATGTGAGTGTCTGACCTAAAGAGAGGGAAATTGGAACTGTCATAATTCATTTGTAGTACTTTGTCTTCATTGATACACCATGAAAAGCTGATATTTTGGAAGAATGGATGTATACAGCCTGTCTAGGTATGAAATTTCATTATTTCAATGCAACTGTTGGTGTTTACAGCAGATAATGTGTCAAGGGGGTCAATCTACAAGCATTGTTTACATATGAACAAGAGTATTAGTGTTCCTTAAAAGTTAATAATGGTTTGTATTTTCTTTAAACAGTGAATTTGAGTGATAATTAATTGGTAATATATTGATGATGAATAATGTAGACCTTGGTCATTAAAAATATTTTTCAGATTTCAAAGAAATGCTGTACATTGGCTATACACATGCCAGGTTTGAAGACTTATGTATAACTTGACAGGACCTGATGTAAGCACATTGGCCACTTTTGATGGGTGTTGCAGTATATCACTACAAATGCATATTGCCAGGTTCAAAACTAATATACAGTTGACTCTCGGTAACTCGAAATCCAAGGGACTGGGCATTTTACTTCGAGAGAAACGGAATTCGAGTAACGTGGAACTGCCGCCATTACGCTGACATTCGTACATGTATATACATGTGCCTGATAAAATGTGCAAAGAAGTAGGTTTGTTATTGTTTGTTAGCGACAATGCTGCAATATTAAACCGTTGAAATGACGGTAAATCACTTACAACTACGAATTATAAATAAACAAAAATATATCATTCAAAATTTAAAACATGTATACTAATTGTGAAACATAAACACACAATTATATTTGATTTAATTGATCATCGGACGAAAACGAAAGTAGCAACTATCGTGAACCGGAAGTACAAATTAATGTATGCAAAATGACGGAACATTAATTATACAAATGTCATTTACGTTGATAACACACATCAATACCTAGGCTGTTATTAGACTAACACCCGTCAGACTGGCACGAGTCAACTTTCTTAAAGAAATGTAATCAAATTTTAATTTAGTTATCTAACTGTTAAAACCAATTAAGTGCTGAAACAGATTAAAGCCATTTATACGACGTGTTAATAATACATGATGACCGTAAATTAAAAATTTCTATGAAACGTGTTAATCACGAGTGACAACATCTCACCTTGATGTCTCCGACCTTTGATCAGTCGGCTGATTTCACACTTCGACTAATTGAGATGAAAATATGTTGGACTTTAATTGACGGGTCCAAATTTTCTTTTCGACTAAACAGGAGTCTCGGTAAGTCAAAATTTGACCTAAGCGGAGTTAAAGTACAAAGATAAAGAAGGAAATTTGACGGGACTTTTAGAAATTCTTCGACTAACGCGGAATTTTGAGTAAAGCGAGTTTGACTTATTGAGAGTCAACTGTATTAATACTAGAAATAGTCTAGGGTGCTGTTTCGGTTAACTTTCGACTTTATTTAGGGGCGGACATTTCTTCGCTCGGCACTAATTTTTTTCCATTTTGCTCAAATATTTGCATAGAATGTCACAAATAAATTGCTTCTATGTCTGTTTCCCATATAAGAATGTTTTGTGTTTCATTTACAGGCATAGATAGCATAAAAGCTTCAAATAAATAGCATTTTAAGGCTTCTGTCTTAAAATTTACTTGGTTTCAGGGCATGAATATCAACACATACTTAGAAATTGAAATCCATTGAAAAATGTAGCATAATTCAGTTAGGTAGCCTCTGAATAGCATCTTATTATGTGGTTAAGATGCAAAATAGTGATAAAAATTTATTGTTTTCTATTTGGTAATGCATATTTACACACTCACAATGTATAATGCCATAGTTTTTAGACTTTATATCTGTTTAATGCATAATTGAAATGAGCATCATAATGGCCAAGGGTAGAATTATTTTGTAGAAAAAGTTTTATTGATAAGTAAAAGTTGATCTACTTTTTCACAATCATATTAGGCACAATTATAACACAGCTTTAGTGTCTCTGATGTGTCTATAAACAGAAAAAGCACTTATTCTGGTAGATAAATGTACACAAAGGGTGTGATTATGCACAACTTTAGTGAATTACCTCCCTTTATTTATTGAGAAACTTAGATAAGTACATAAATTCTAGTGTCTGGCTACCTAAATGAGAAGAAAATACACAATACTATCCATTCCAAGTACATTTTGGTCTGAAGAGGTGATTTACATGGTAAAACACCTGAAAGAAGGTTTCAATTGTCATATTTGGCTCCAAATGAATGCAAAAATGGCCAATAAATTGGGTGTAGAAGTCAAATTTTAGGCTATTACTGTGCTGTTAAGTCCAGAGGAACTTGGTTTTTCCATATATTGCATTTTTTATATCCATGTAAGAGAGAGACAAAATATATATAAAGAATTTTAGCATTTTATTGACATTTAGGCTTGTATTTAAGACTATATAAGCAAATATTTGGAGTAGAAAAATACAGCAGGGGCACTTTTAAAATACCTAGTTACACCCAAAATGTTGCTATGTGTGTACAAATAACGTGTAATCCATAGTCAGGTCACTATACAGTAGTTATTAAGTATGTTTGCTAAGCTAAATCTTCATTCAGGAAGTCTATTGGTAATAAAATGTTGAAATTTGGGTGAAAAATCACTTATTTTGTTATGGGTGGGGTGATAAAATTGCTCCCTGCTACATCCTTTTGTTAGAAAATTAGTATTTTGAAGCACTTCTGTAATGAGAACAGTGTAGTGTTGCTATCTGAGTGATTTTATGGAAGTTGTTACAAAATTGGCTTCAGAATATTGAAATATGTATGAAAATCACATGCTAACATTCATTTTCAGAATATCCGGATTGCGGCATAACGGCGCTTGTCAGAAAAAAGGGAATTTCAAAGTTTTAAATGACTTAAGAGTGGTGAAAATGCATCCATATAATTGGTAATTGTATATGCAACTTCATTTATTATTAGATATTAGAATACTAAACATTTAATATTCCCTTTAGGTCAGGGTATCGCATTGTAACATGGCCAGCGATTGGCTGAAAAAAAGTGCAGGGAAAACCGTATGAGTCAATTTATACATGAGGTGATTGGATGGAAGTGGGGTATTTTTAAGTAAAATAACTAATTTAAAAAGTAACACTACACTGTTTTCTGAAGAAAATGAAATATTTCATGAGTCTCTGTGATAATTTTGACTTGGATATTTGCATTCATAAAAAGTGTATGTCAGTCCTGTGATCAGCAGAAAATTTCAATGAAATGGGGGGTAATCCTCTCTGAAGTCATTTTGCAAAAAATTTGGTTGGCTACCCCTATATAACAAGAACATTTTCATGTGTCAGGCATTTCATTCTGCTAGAAAAATTAGCTCTTTAGCATGAAAACTCAATTTTAAGGTAGGATTAGGGACCATTTCTTATAATGTAAGTCTATGGAAATATCAATGTGAGTGTCTGACCTAAAGAGAGGGAAATTGGAACTGTCATAATTCATTTGTAGTACTTTGTCTTCATTGATACACCATGAAAAGCTGATATTTTGGAAGAATGGATGTATACAGCCTGTCTAGGTATGAAATTTCATTATTTCAATGCAACTGTTGGTGTTTACAGCAGATAATGTGTCAAGGGGGTCAATCTACAAGCATTGTTTACATATGAACAAGAGTATTAGTGTTCCTTAAAAGTTAATAATGGTTTGTATTTTCTTTAAACAGTGAATTTGAGTGATAATTAATTGGTAATATATTTGATGATGAATAATGTAGACCTTGGTCATTAAAAATATTTTTCAGATTTCAAAGAAATGCTGTACATTGGCTATACACATGCCAGGTTTGAAGACTTATGTATAACTTGACAGGACCTGATGTAAGCACATTGGCCACTTTTGATGGGTGTTGCAGGTATATCACTACAAATGCATATTGCCAGGTTCAAAACTAATATACAGTTGACTCTCGGTAACTCGAAATCCAAGGGACTGGGCATTTTACTTCGAGAGAAACGGAATTCGAGTAACGTGGAACTGCCGCCATTACGCTGACATTCGTACATGTATATACATGTGCCTGATAAAATGTGCAAAGAAGTAGGTTTGTTATTGTTGTTAGCGACAATGCTGCAATATTTAACCGTTGAAATGACGGTAAATCACTTACAACTACGAATTATAAATAAACAAAAATATATCATTCAAAATTTAAAACATGTATACTAATTGTGAAACATAAACACACAATTATATTTGATTTAATTGATCATCGGACGAAAACGAAAGTAGCAACTATCGTGAACCGGAAGTACAAATTAATGTATGCAAAATGACGGAACATTAATTATACAAATGTCATTTACGTTGATAACACACATCAATACCTAGGCTGTTATTAGACTAACACCCGTCAGACTGGCACGAGTCAACTTTCTTAAAGAAATGTAATCAAATTTTAATTTAGTTATCTAACTGTTAAAACCAATTAAGTGCTGAAACAGATTAAAGCCATTTATACGACGTGTTAATAATACATGATGACCGTAAATTAAAAATTTCTATGAAACGTGTTAATCACGAGTGACAACATCTCACCTTGATGTCTCCGACCTTTGATCAGTCGGCTGATTTCACACTTCGACTAATTGAGATGAAAATATGTTGGACTTTAATTGACGGGTCCAAATTTTCTTTTCGACTAAACAGGAGTCTCGGTAAGTCAAAATTTGACCTAAGCGGAGTTAAAGTACAAAGATAAAGAAGGAAATTTGACGGGACTTTAGAAATTCTTCGACTAACGCGGAATTTTGAGTAAAGCGAGTTTGACTTATTGAGAGTCAACTGTATTAATACTAGAAATAGTCTAGGGTGCTGTTTCGGTTAACTTTCGACTTTATTTAGGGGCGGACATTTCTTCGCTCGGCACTAATTTTTTTCCATTTTGCTCAAATATTTGCATAGAATGTCACAAATAAATTGCTTCTATGTCTGTTTCCCATATAAGAATGTTTTGTGTTTCATTTACAGGCATAGATAGCATAAAAGCTTCAAATAAATAGCATTTTAAGGCTTCTGTCTTAAAATTTACTTGGTTTCAGGGCATGAATATCAACACATACTTAGAAATTGAAATCCATTGAAAAATGTAGCATAATTCAGTTAGGTAGCCTCTGAATAGCATCTTATTATGTGGTTAAGATGCAAAATAGTGATAAAAATTTATTGTTTTCTATTTGGTAATGCATATTTACACACTCACAATGTATAATGCCATAGTTTTTAGACTTTATATCTGTTTAATGCATAATTGAAATGAGCATCATAATGGCCAAGGGTAGAATTATTTTGTAGAAAAAGTTTTATTGATAAGTAAAAGTTGATCTACTTTTTCACAATCATATTAGGCACAATTATAACACAGCTTTAGTGTCTCTGATGTGTCTATAAACAGAAAAAGCACTTATTCTGGTAGATAAATGTACACAAAGGGTGTGATTATGCACAACTTTAGTGAATTACCTCCCTTTATTTATTGAGAAACTTAGATAAGTACATAAATTCTAGTGTCTGGCTACCTAAATGAGAAGAAAATACACAATACTATCCATTCCAAGTACATTTTGGTCTGAAGAGGTGATTTACATGGTAAAACACCTGAAAGAAGGTTTCAATTGTCATATTTGGCTCCAAATGAATGCAAAAATGGCCAATAAATTGGGTGTAGAAGTCAAATTTTAGGCTATTACTGTGCTGTTAAGTCCAGAGGAACTTGGTTTTTCCATATATTGCATTTTTTATATCCATGTAAGAGAGAGACAAAATATATATAAAGAATTTTAGCATTTTATTGACATTTAGGCTTGTATTTAAGACTATATAAGCAAATATTTGGAGTAGAAAAATACAGCAGGGGCACTTTTAAAATACCTAGTTACACCCAAAATGTTGCTATGTGTGTACAAATAACGTGTAATCCATAGTCAGGTCACTATACAGTAGTTATTAAGTATGTTTGCTAAGCTAAATCTTCATTCAGGAAGTCTATTGGTAATAAAATGTTGAAATTTGGGTGAAAAATCACTTATTTTGTTATGGATGGGGTGATAAAATTGCTCCCTGCTACATCCTTTTGTTAGAAAATTAGTATTTTGAAGCACTTCTGTAATGAGAACAGTGTAGTGTTGCTATCTGAGTGATTTTATGGAAGTTGTTACAAAATTGGCTTCAGAATAATGAATTATGTATGAAAATCACATGCTAACATTCATTTTCAGAATATCCGGATTGCGGCATAACGGCGCTTGTTAGAAAAAAGGGAATTTCAAAGTTTTAAATGACTTAAGAGTGGTGAAAATGTATCCATTTAATTGGTAATTGTATATGCAACTTCATTTATTATTAGATATTAGAATACTAAACATTTAATATTCCCTTTAGGTCAGGGTATCGCATTGTAACATGGCCAGCGATTGGCTGAAAAAAGTGCAGGGAAAACCGTATGAGTCAATTTATACATGAGGTGATTGGATGGAAGTGGGGTATTTTTAAGTAAAAAAAACTAATTTAAAAGTAACACTACACTGTTTTCTGAAGAAAATGAAATATTTCATGAGTCTCTGTGATAATTTTGACTTGGATATTTGCATTCATAAAAAGTGTATGTCAGTCCTGTGATCAGCAGAAAATTTCAATGAAATGGGGGGTAATCCTCTCTGAAGTCATTTTGCAAAAAATTTGGTTGGCTACCCCTATATAACAAGAACATTTTCATGTGTCAGGCATTTCATTCTGCTAGAAAAATTAGCTCTTTAGCATGAAAACTCAATTTTAAGGTAGGATTAGGGACCATTTCTTATAATGTAAGTCTATGGAAATATCAATGTGAGTGTCTGACCTAAAGAGAGGGAAATTGGAACTGTCATAATTCATTTGTAGTACTTTGTCTTCATTGATACACCATGAAAAGCTGATATTTTGGAAGAATGGATGTATACAGCCTGTCTAGGTATGAAATTTCATTATTTCAATGCAACTGTTGGTGTTTACAGCAGATAATGTGTCAAGGGGGTCAATCTACAAGCATTGTTTACATATGAACAAGAGTATTAGTGTTCCTTAAAAGTTAATAATGGTTTGTATTTTCTTTAAACAGTGAATTTGAGTGATAATTAATTGGTAATATATTGATGATGAATAATGTAGACCTTGGTCATTAAAAATATTTTTCAGATTTCAAAGAAATGCTGTACATTGGCTATACACATGCCAGGTTTGAAGACTTATGTATAACTTGACAGGACCTGATGTAAGCACATTGGCCACTTTTGATGGGTGTTGCAGGTATATCACTACAAATGCATATTGCCAGGTTCAAAACTAATATACAGTTGACTCTCGGTAACTCGAAATCCAAGGGACTGGGCATTTTACTTCGAGAGAAACGGAATTCGAGTAACGTGGAACTGCCGCCATTACGCTGACATTCGTACATGTATATACATGTGCCTGATAAAATGTGCAAAGAAGTAGGTTTGTTATTGTTGTTAGCGACAATGCTGCAATATTTAACCGTTGAAATGACGGTAAATCACTTACAACTACGAATTATAAATAAACAAAAATATATCATTCAAAATTTAAAAACATGTATACTAATTGTGAAACATAAACACACAATTATATTTGATTTAATTGATCATCGGACGAAAACGAAAGTAGCAACTATCGTGAACCGGAAGTACAAATTAATGTATGCAAAATGACGGAACATTAATTATACAAATGTCATTTACGTTGATAACACACATCAATACCTAGGCTGTTATTAGACTAACACCCGTCAGACTGGCACGAGTCAACTTTCTTAAAGAAATGTAATCAAATTTTAATTTAGTTATCTAACTGTTAAAACCAATTAAGTGCTGAAACAGATTAAAGCCATTTATACGACGTGTTAATAATACATGATGACCGTAAATTAAAAATTTCTATGAAACGTGTTAATCACGAGTGACAACATCTCACCTTGATGTCTCCGACCTTTGATCAGTCGGCTGATTTCACACTTCGACTAATTGAGATGAAAATATGTTGGACTTTAATTGACGGGTCCAAATTTTCTTTTCGACTAAACAGGAGTCTCGGTAAGTCAAAATTTGACCTAAGCGGAGTTAAAGTACAAAGATAAAGAAGGAAATTTGACGGGACTTTAGAAATTCTTCGACTAACGCGGAATTTTGAGTAAAGCGAGTTTGACTTATTGAGAGTCAACTGTATTAATACTAGAAATAGTCTAGGGTGCTGTTTCGGTTAACTTTCGACTTTATTTAGGGGCGGACATTTCTTCGCTCGGCACTAATTTTTTTTCATTTTGCTCAAATATTTGCATAGAATGTCACAAATAAATTGCTTCTATGTCTGTTTCCCATATAAGAATGTTTTGTGTTTCATTTACAGGCATAGATAGCATAAAAGCTTCAAATAAATAGCATTTTAAGGCTTCTGTCTTAAAATTTACTTGGTTTCAGGCATGAATATCAACACATACTTAGAAATTGAAATCCATTGAAAAATGTAGCATAATTCAGTTAGGTAGCCTCTGAATAGCATCTTATTATGTGGTTAAGATGCAAAATAGTGATAAAAATTTATTGTTTTCTATTTGGTAATGCATATTTACACACTCACAATGTATAATGCCATAGTTTTTAGACTTTATATCTGTTTAATGCATAATTGAAATGAGCATCATAATGGCCAAGGGTAGAATTATTTTGTAGAAAAAGTTTTATTGATAAGTAAAAGTTGATCTACTTTTTCACAATCATATTAGGCACAATTATAACACAGCTTTAGTGTCTCTGATGTGTCTATAAACAGAAAAAGCACTTATTCTGGTAGATAAATGTACACAAAGGGTGTGATTATGCACAACTTTAGTGAATTACCTCCCTTTATTTATTGAGAAACTTAGATAAGTACATAAATTCTAGTGTCTGGCTACCTAAATGAGAAGAAAATACACAATACTATCCATTCCAAGTACATTTTGGTCTGAAGAGGTGATTTACATGGTAAAAACACCTGAAAGAAGGTTTCAATTGTCATATTTGGCTCCAAATGAATGCAAAAATGGCCAATAAATTGGGTGTAGAAGTCAAATTTTAGGCTATTACTGTGCTGTTAAGTCCAGAGGAACTTGGTTTTTCCATATATTGCATTTTTTATATCCATGTAAGAGAGAGACAAAATATATATAAAGAATTTTAGCATTTTATTGACATTTAGGCTTGTATTTAAGACTATATAAGCAAATATTTGGAGTAGAAAAATACAGCAGGGGCACTTTTAAAATACCTAGTTACACCCAAAATGTTGCTATGTGTGTACAAATAACGTGTAATCCATAGTCAGGTCACTATACAGTAGTTATTAAGTATGTTTGCTAAGCTAAATCTTCATTCAGGAAGTCTATTGGTAATAAAATGTTGAAATTTGGGTGAAAAATCACTTATTTTGTTATGGGTGGGGTGATAAAATTGCTCCCTGCTACATCCTTTTGTTAGAAAATTAGTATTTTGAAGCACTTCTGTAATGAGAACAGTGTAGTGTTGCTATCTGAGTGATTTTATGGAAGTTGTTACAAAATTGGCTTCAGAATATTGAAATATGTATGAAAATCACATGCTAACATTCATTTTCAGAATATCCGGATTGCGGCATAACGGCGCTTGTCAGAAAAAAGGGAATTTCAAAGTTTTAAATGACTTAAGAGTGGTGAAAATGCATCCATATAATTGGTAATTGTATATGCAACTTCATTTATTATTAGATATTAGAATACTAAACATTTAATATTCCTTTAGGTCAGGGTATCGCATTGTAACATGGCCAGCGATTGGCTGAAAAAAAGTGCAGGGAAAACCGTATGAGTCAATTTATACATGAGGTGATTGGATGGAAGTGGGGTATTTTTAAGTAAAATAACTAATTTAAAAAGTAACACTACACTGTTTTCTGAAGAAAATGAAATATTTCATGAGTCTCTGTGATAATTTTGACTTGGATATTTGCATTCATAAAAAGTGTATGTCAGTCCTGTGATCAGCAGAAAATTTCAATGAAATGGGGGGTAATCCTCTCTGAAGTCATTTTGCAAAAAATTTGGTTGGCTACCCCTATATAACAAGAACATTTTCATGTGTCAGGCATTTCATTCTGCTAGAAAAATTAGCTCTTTAGCATGAAAACTCAATTTTAAGGTAGGATTAGGGACCATTTCTTATAATGTAAGTCTATGGAAATATCAATGTGAGTGTCTGACCTAGTGTCCTTGCACGGATAAGTTACGGCAGAGAGTACGGCTGTTATTGCAAACTGTTTTGACACCACATGTGATCAAAAAATTGTAAATAATGATGGACAGCAGTCAACCAAAAGAGGTAATATTTTGAATTATGATTATATGACACTTATTTTATCAATATATCATGGCACAGTTTGCACTACTTATATTGGTGGTAAGAGAAATTTATTTGTCATATGTTTTCGCGATGAATTACATTTCGACGATGTTTCGGATATAATAATTTCGGACAATGTATATATGAATCATGTCTTTGTAGCCGCCTTTTGTGTATTATTGATTGTTACGGTAAATAAAAAGTCCAAACAATGCTAACTTGAAGTCGATTATCGTTACGATCTTTAGGACAGGGAACTTTATAACATAAAACAACTGTAGAGCCTTAGATGTCTGTGTACCAGGTCTGGATGCACTAATATGCATGTCTAATGAACGGATTAGTTTCACCTAGTCAATGTTGCCTGCAGCACCAATGGCTGCTTCTAGAGGAATCACCCAGAATCCCAATGGGCCCTTTGCCGTCAGGGGTTACAGCAAATTAAGGTTATGAAGCATAATTATACTCACGTACTCAACCTGTCTCGTACCTAGGTACGTGAGCACCACACTCCTCCCCATCCTATTTGAAGGTGTTGGTCCACCCTGACGACCTAACCAAACAGGCTCTAATTTCTGGGATGACTTTCCTGGTTCTAACCAGTACTGGTATTGCAACTACTTGCTTTTTTACAATTAGCACTATAAGTTACGATACCCCCTCCTTTGTGTCTGTGATAAATGGTCTAAATTAGCAGTATCCAAATATTGACGATCCTAGGTCCTATACCAATGAAAAATTTAAATTTAAGATGTTTCGAGGCCTCTAACCATTGATCCCAAGTAAGCACCTATGGCTTAATCAGACCTGTCCACTGAGAGCAACAGCCTCCCCTCAATGCACAGCCTCAGCGCTATAACCAGTCAGTTGGAAAACGCGCAACGTGACCCCACCGATCATATCTGGAGTAGAACTTCTACCTTTCGGCGGACTGAAACATGGAGCTTTGGTCTCCAGGAGTCTGGAATACTCACCTCAATGACCGTCTCCAAATTGTCGTTCGACCGGCAGCTCACAGCAGTGAACTCCAAACACATGCTCTGGAACTTCTCCAGCCACCACTGACTGATCCCAAGAGGTATACATCCAACTCACCTAGTGAATTGATCCACCATCACAAGTACAATCCCATGTACCCGTTCCATGGGGGATTCTGCCTGGTAATCAATTGCCAAATGGCACTTCTCCTGCCTGGGTCAACTTACCTGCCTTACACTATGAAACAAGCAGTTTCACATCATGGCCAAAACCATACCAGGTATACTCCTCTTTAACTTGTTCCCTAATACATGTTACAACCTGATGACCTGAAGATGGCAGGCTATTATCATGAGAAATAGCCTCCTTTAGCTCTTCGGCAATACTTATAGAGCACCCTAGTGCTTAAGGTCATCAGATCCAGGCACTAACTTGCCTCAACCTTACAATTGTTGCCTAGCCCAGTGATGACAATATACTTTAACATACACAATGTATCACAACTGGCAAGCTATCAAATTTACCCCTTGGTGACTGTTACACTCTTTGGTAAATTCTCTCCATCAGAGACTTTTGTTGCAAGGTATGGCTTGCCATTCCCATCATTGGTGTCAGATGGCTTTCAACCTTCAGACCCGTAGACAGTTGTGCTTCGACTAGTTCCCCCAGAATATGATATAATGTCAATTTCTGGTCTGTATTACTTGACTAGATGCACAGTATCATCTACCTCCTCAAGAAGGACCCCAAATTATTCTGGGCTCTGTTATTAATATATACACCTACCACAAGGCAATTCATCCAGATGTGTTCCCACATGGTACTCCATACAATGACCCATGTCCGGACTTGTGGCCACTGCACCCCCTTCCCATGCTCACAACCTGGACAGTGTTGCAACACATTAATATACCGAGACAGCTCCTTCAACCACCTCCCCAATTGCCATTGTGGCTCCCGGTCCCCCATAAGCCACCTCAAAAATAGAATGGTCATTCCTTACCACAAACAGTCTATTTCCCAGACCCTCGATCAGGACAATTTTCTTCTAAATGCCCCTCCTTCCCACAATTGAAACACCACATAAGGCCCTTTCTTATGGTTTCCTAAACCAATAACCTTAATCAAACTTCTGTTCCAACTGTTGGATCGCCCTCATTACAGTAAGGTTATCCAGGGTGGAAGATGAGCTAACCGATGTAGCTTCAACGGCAAAAACATCGCGATTTTCATCATCGCGCCGCCTAGTATCCCTTCTTGCCTTACCATGCATGGCCTTGTACACCTGTTGGTACTTTCTTACAATTTGAATTGCCCCTTGAACACTAGACGGGGACTGCATACAAACATGATGCCCTGCATCTTTGTCAAGCAGCCCTTGGCAGAAACGACTAATAACTTGCTCTTCAATAAATGAGACTGGCAAGCCCTTGAATGCTTTTACCGCCAGAATCAACAGTCGTTCTCCAAAATCTTCCAAAGACTCATCAGGGTTTTGACAAGCCTGCTGGAATTGTGCTTGAAACGCAGCAGGTAAACTATGTTGCCCATACCGCGCTTCCAGCATTAAGCATAGACTCCTATATGAGTCTACCTCTTCCGTGTCATTCAAAATGACAAAGTAATTCATGGCCTTTCCTGTCAAACACCAGCAAAGACCATCAAGCTTTTCTCCCTCTGACCAATTAGAGGCCTCGGCAAACCTGTTAAACTTCAAAATGAAAGCTTTCCAGGAGCCTATCCCATCAAACGTCAGATGCCTTGGTAACGAATTCAACGTATTCATTAACAAGCTGGGTCGACACCTTTCGGCACCCATAGGCCGACTGTGCTGTGCCCCAAACTCCCTTGGGTATAATGGTTTACCAATGTCGGCCTCACCATGACAACCCACATGTTGGGTATTCTGTTCCTCTAGATCGTGCCAAGGATTTCGTCCCCTCCTAGAAGAGAAATCAATGTCTTTTGGGGTATACCTACTACTCAAATAAGGGTCCCCACAAGATGCATCCTCACCCGATGTAGGTTCCTGACCTTGGCTATCCATTTGTGGACCTTTTGCCATAAGCCGAGAAGCAACATCCATTTCACGCTTCAGGGAAAGCCCTTTACTGGCTTCTATCAACTCATCCTCTTTCTCTTCAGCTGGCCAACACTTATTAGACGTAAAATCAATAAGTGCTAGCTCATCCTCCGTAAACTTTTTACGGCAAATAACTGACAAAATCTCTGGTGTGATATTGCCACTATTTTCCCTAACTGATAAAAGAGCTACAGCTAATTTCTTACCGATTCCAGGAATTAGCATTAACTGGTCAATATCACAAAAATTTACTGCTACAGGGCTATGGAGCCCTGCGACCGGCTCATCCTTTACTGATGAAGTGTCTGCCATGCCTGTCAAGTCATCTTGCATTGACATGGTTCAATTACTTGTGTACCAATTACAAGAAAACAACAACAAAACTTATTTATCAAAAAATAAACAAATTACTCTATTAAATTAATGTTAGATTTAATAAAATACGATGGCAGAACAAAAGCACAAAACTGACTTGGTGATTTCACACTGAACACCGGTTGGCTATTTCCTTTGGTGTCTCCACGGAAAAAATCCGCCAAATTCGAATAATTATCTCAATTATCCAAAAATTACACGTAAAAGTGCCTTATGAAATAAATGCAATTGTCTTTAGACCAATTACACCTGTTAACAGACACAAGGTTCGATTATTTTAGGTTTACAAAAATGCCTCACCTAAAATCAGCTGTTTTGCAGATAGCGATTTTTACTGGCAAAACTGGTACTCAAATTACCGCTGCCGCCATTGTAGAACCTTGCATATGATAGTTAAATGACTTACCTATCTAGATGTCTGTGTACCAGGTCTGGATGCACTAATATGCATGTCTAATGAACGGATTAGTTTCACCTAGTCAATGTTGCCTGCAGCACCAATGGCTGCTTCTGAAAGAATCACCCAGAATCCCAATGGGCCCTTTGCTGTCAGGGGTTACAGCCAATCAAGGTTATGAAGCATAATTATACTCACATACTCAACCTGTCTCGTACCTAGGTACGTGAGCACCACACAACTGCAAAATGTTTTGTAGAAAAAAAGATAGTAATAATCAGCATAAAGTAATAATAACCAGAAAGTGAATGACTAAATGAAATCTTATCATGATTTTAATGAATCTGGGTCAGCTCGGCCCTAAAACGTACTTGGCCCCCGAGTCAGCTCGGCCCTTTTCCAACTCGGCACGGGTCAACTCGGCCCACTTTTCAATTATTATTTAGGTTTGTGCTATCACTATTTATTGTAAATTTTGTAATTATTTATAATACACGTATTGACAGTTTCCGAACTAGCAGCAGACAGGCTTTTCTTATGAGTAGAATTGCGAGTAAAGATCACCGATTGCGTATCTCACTGTATTTCTAAATTGTGGTAGGTTTAACCGTAAAATTAAATACTTATTATTATCAATCATTGTGTATGTTAAGGATACTGATTAATTAGGTGATAATTATGATTGACACATTCATTCAAATTTGATTAGTGGCCACCTGCAATTAATAAGAAGCTTATGATATTAAGTAAACTCGTTTTTGTTACATATTTTTTTAAATATAAGATCTACTTTACAAACAAAATGCATCTAAGATTAGATCTATATTAATTTGATCGAATCTGCGAGACAAATAAATATTATTTTTTTTCTAAATATACTTTATTTTTGCAGAAGTACAATGTATTTAAATATATAATAATAATAAGATATTTCTTATTATTTATTTACTTTAACAAAATTCAAAGCAAAGTTAATACGTTATATATATTTTGGTAAAGTGGGCCGAGTTGACCCAGGCCGAGTTGACCCGTGCCGAGTTGACCGGTGCCGAGTTGGTATAGGGCCGAGTTGACTCTTTTCCATTTTAATTATTAGCACATTAATACAATTGTTATTTACAAGTCTATATTGTAAGTCTCAGCATGTATACAACAATATTTACAGCATCCAAAGCAAACTACTGTATGATTTATTTAGTAACATCAGTGCACAGATAGTTGTAACAACTATGATTGCCTCATGCCCCTTTCTACACCATGAATATCACCTGAACTCCCATTTTTCCTAAAGGTATCAGTTTCTGAAATAGTGTCTCTGGTCTATCAAACCTAGTCCAAGCATAATATCTTTTCAGAAAGGCTTGCATCAGTTAACTTTTTTATAAATTAACTTGATACATTTATTTTTAAAACTGTCACTCAATTCTTTTATCTTTTTTTTACCTGCCATTGTTCCTTCACCGCAACAAGCTCACATTGTAAAAAGAAATAATGAAGAATAATGACTAAAATGACATACCTTGACTATATTGTGCCTAATTTTAGTAGTTTAATAACTAATTTCCTTTTTCTTTAAAATTAATGGTCTGTTTATCATTCATTGCATTTATTCAGAGTAATAGGGTAATTTTCTGTGCAGATTAATTGGCAATCTCCTGGAATAGATGCCAATGTTTATCACTGTCTGTATTTTAAACAGTAATATACTACAAATACAGAATGAGCCTACTTATATACTTCCGGTTTAGGCCCTGATGTAGTCATTGTTTTGGTCCATGTTAATAAAAACATGCATTTTGTTTTTCAGAAAAAAGTCAAGAAAAGGCCTCCCCCAGCCAGATATTTTTCTGCATCCAATGTTGACAAAGAGACACATGAAGATGGGCCAAAGGCAGAAAAAGATGAGAAACAAAGACAGCATAATAAACGTGAAGACAGACGCTTAATGTTCAAGAACATAAAAAAAGAGGCAAAGGTATGCTGAAGGTTGTTTTTTTTTATTTTTCCAGAAAGATTGTAAAGTAACCTTTTCAGATTTACTGAGTGAATTAAATGCTGACAAGTGTGCCAAAAATAATGTTTTAACACTTACTTTTTATGCCCCCACAATGTGGGAGCATATAGCGTTGCACTTGTCCGTCCGTCAATCCGTCTGTCCGTCCGTACGTCCCGAAATCTTGTGAACGCAACTCCTCTTAAACCGGATGGCAGATTTTGCTTAAACTTACAGGGATGAACAACCTTAATGTGTAAATGGTAGTAAAGGAAGGAATTTTCGCTGCGACCAAATTTAACAGAATTATGGCCCTTTGTTGATTTTTTCACTAGATACTATGTAGAAATTTTGTGAACGCAACTCCTCTTAAACCGGTTGGCAGATTTTGCTTAAACTTACAGGGATGAACAACCTGAATGTGTAGATGGTAGTAAAGGAAGGAATTTTTGCGGCGACCAAATTTAACAGAATTATGGCTCTTTGTTGATTTTTTCACTATATACTATGTAGAAATTTTGTGAACGCAACTCCTCTTAAACCGGATGGCAGATTTTGCTTAAACTTACAGGGATGAACAACCTTAAGGTGTAGATGGTAGTAAAGGAAGGAATTTTCGCTGCGACCAAATTTTACAGAATTATGGCCCTTTGATGATTTTTTCACTATATACTATGTAGAAATTTTGTGAATGCAACTCTTCTTAAACCGGATGGCAGATTTTGCTTAAACTTCCAGGGATGAACAACCTTAATGTGTAGATGGCAGTAAAGGAAGGAATTTTTGCTGCAACCAAATTTAACAGAATTATGGCCCTTTGTTGATTTTTTCATTATATACTTTGTAGAAATTTTGTGAACGTAACTCCTCTTAAACCGGATGGCAGATTTTGCTTAAACTTCCAGGGATTTACAACCTTAATGTGTAGATGTTAGTAAAGGAAAGAATTTTTTGCTGCAACCAAATTTAACAGAATTATGGCCCTTTGTTGATTTTTTGTCCAAAAAATATTTGACCTTAAGAGTCATAAGATTGACAGAACAGTGGCGTGTGGGGGCATCCGTGTCCTATGGACACATTTCTAGTCTTACAATGGATCTTCATATGTATTATTTTTACAGTAAGGGTTCCTTTCTTATCTGTTTCCTAGTTGTTTACCAATTATGCATTTTGTTTGAGCACTATTTCAGCAATCTCGGGGAAATCAGATCATTCTTTTAGGTCCATCACTCTATGCTACGAAGCTACCCAATGAAAGGTAGTGGAGAATAAGTTAAGATATGGTTTTATTAAATGTTATTGGAAATTTCACATGAATTCAATTAAAAAATATTTTGTCAGCTTAAGTTATCACATGCCTTATGAATCTGAAATTTACATTGCTGTGTTTCTATAAGTTTTTAGTAACTACAGAGAATTTGTCAGACTTACAAGTTTTCAAAAGCTATTCTTATTTCACTATCTAGTACAGAGACTATAGTGTCCAGTATGTGCTGTCTTAAATTGCTGCTCTTGTTAATGAATGTTAATTTTACATTACTTTACAAGTTAGCTAGCATGCCTTGTTTATCATGATTTTGTTTTTCACTCTTCAGATTCGTAAACAAGGATATGAGGTAGAAAAGTACAAGACTAAGGAAGGAAAAGAGGAGAGTCAGCAAGTGTTCAATATAGATATGATGAGAAGAAGTCATCCACAGAAACGGTTTAAGGCCAAAGATAATCGAGAGAAAGGGAAACCTAAAAATCTGACCTCAAGACAAAAGCTCAACAAACAAGGAATGGAAAAATCTTATCAAGTAGACAAAATGGTAATAGCAGTGCTGATGATATGTTACCATTTTACAAATAATGTTTTCTGTTCATTACCTTTGAAATTATAGACTTACTCTGGCATTAAGAAATCTTGTTATTTAGACAAAATTTAATTTAATTCTGTAATTTTTTATTACAGGAAAGAGATCCATACCCAGGCGATAAACCAATACCGCAGGAACACATACAAAAATATGAACGTGGTACAGCTATGAAATCTGTAAGTACTGTGTCGGATGTGTATGCAGCGTTGATTACTGTTACATGTATTTGAATACTCTTATTTGATGCTTAACTGAATTATACGCCTTTATGAAGATAGAAAGTTCTCTCAGAGAAGAAAAAAGATGCAAACGTTTGCTGTTTTAATTAAAACACCAAATCATATGAAGTGTACTTTTGATCAAATAATTGAAATGAAAAATTTGACCAAATAACTTATATGTACAATGTACATTTGACCAAATTACTTATATGTTAACCAAATACTTGAAATGAAAAAAAAATGTATATCTGACCGAATAACTTATATGGAAAATATATTTTTGACTTAACAACTTCTATGTAAGGTATACTTTTGACCAAACAACTCGTATATAAAGTGTACTTTTGACCAAATAACTTTCAAATAATAAAGGTGAGGAACACACATACAAATAACTTTCAGTATAATTTATGATGTCAAACAAATGTTGCCCTCAAATAGATTTAATCATTATTAGTTGTCTTGTAGAAAAAGATGCGTTCAGAATTTGCCACTGACATGACAAAGAAGAAAGAAAAGAAGCTTAGTCTGGCTGCCAAACAGACAGCAAGGACCGAACTGTTGATGCAGGAAAATGAAGGGTAGGTGTCAATCATGTTACTCATACATAACATAAATTTTTGTGTCGCCTTGAAAAGGTGACGTATAGGGGTTACTTTTGTCGGCGGCGTCTGTGTCGTTGTCGGCGGCGTTGTCGGCGTCCCCTAAAGCTTGTCCGGAGCATAACTCAGTCACTATAAGTCTGATTGACTTCAAACTTGGTATGCATGCTTTTTTCAATAACCTGAAGTGCAGTGCACAAGGACCGGTACTCTGCAGTTCTTATTTTTTGAGTTATTGCCCTTTGTTAATTTTCATACTTTAATTTTGTCCGGGCCATTTCTCTTCAACTAAAAAAGCTATGGACTTGAAACTTCATAGGATGATAGATCTCAATAAGAAGAAGTGCAGTGCACAAGAACCGGTACTCTGCACTTCCTAATTTTTGAGTTATTGCCCTTTGTTAATTTTCATACTTTACTTTTGTCCTGGCCATTTCTCCTAATGTATAAAAGCCATGGACTTGAAACTTCATAGGATGATAGGTCTAATTAAGAAGAAGTGCAGTGCACAAGAACAGGTACTCTGCATTTCTTATTTTTTGAGTTATTGCCCTTTGTTTATTTTCATACTTTAATTTTGTCCGGGCCATTTCTCCTTAAGTATAAAAGCTATGGACTTGAAACTTCATAGGATTATAGATCTCATTAAGAAGAAGTGCAGCGCACAAGAATCGGTACTCTGCATTTCTTAATTTTTGAGTAATGGCCCTTTGTTAGCTCACCTGTCACAAAGTGACAGGGTGAGCTTTTGTGATCGCTTTTCGTCCGGCGTCCGTCCATCGTCCGTCCGTCCGTCCGTAAACTTTTACTTTAAATGACATCTCCTCATAAACCACTAAGCCAATTTCATCCAAACTTCACAGGAATGTTCCTTTGGTGGTCACCTTTAAAAATTGTTCAAAGAATTTAATTCCATGCAAGACTCTGGTTGCCATGGCAACCGAAAGAAAAAACTTTAAATATCTTCTTTTAAAAAACCATAAGAGCTAGAGCTTAGATATTTGGCATGAAACATCTTCTAGTGAGTGTCTACCAAGTTTGTTCAAATAAAAGCCCTGGGGTCAAAGGTCATTGATTTTCCCTATATGCATATAGTAAAAACTTAAAAAATCTTCTTTTAAAGAACCCAAAGAGCTAGAGCTAAGATATTTAGCATGAAACATGTTCTAATGGGTGTCTACCAAGTTTGTTCAAATAAAAGCCCTGGGGTGAAAATTGGCCCCGCCCCGGGGGTCATTGATTTTCCCTATATGCATATAGTAAAAACTTAAAAATCTTCTTTTAAAGAACCCAAAGAGCTAGAGCTAAGATATTTAGCATGAAACATGTTCTAATGGGTGTCTACCAAGTTTGTTCAAATAAAAGCCCTGGGGTGAAAATTGGCCCCGACCCGGGGGTCATTGATTTTCCCTATATGCATATAGTAAAAACTTAAAAAATCTTCTTTTAAAGAACTCAAAGAGCTAGAGCTTAGATATTAGGCATGAAACATCTTCTAGTGAGTGTCTACCAAGTTTGTTCAAATAAAAGCCCTGGGGTCAAAATTGGCCCCGCCCCGGGGGGTCATTGATTTTCCCTATATGCATATAGTAAAAACTTAAAAAATCTTCTTTTAAAGAACCCAAAGAGCTAGAGCTAAGATATTTAGCATGAAACATGTTCTAATGGGTGTCTACCAAGTTTGTTCAAATAAAAGCCCTGGGGTGAAAATTGGCCCCGCCCCGGGGGTCATTGATTTTCCCTATATGCATATAGTAAAAACTTAAAAATCTTCTTTTAAAGAACTCAAAGAGCTAGAGCTTAGATATTTGGCATGAAACATGTTCTAATAGGTGTCTACCAAGTTTGTTCAAATACAAGCCCAGGGGTCAAAATTGGCCCCGCCCCGGCGGTCATTGATTTTCTTTATATGTGTTTAGCAAAAACTTTAAATCTTCTTTGAAAAAACCCAAATAGCTAGAGTTTAGATATTAAGCATGAAACATCTTCTAGTAAGTGTCTACAAAGTTTGTTCAAATAAAAGCCCTGGGGTCAAAACTGGCCCGGCCCCAGGGGTGTCATTGTTTTTAACTATATGTGTATAGTAAAAACTTTAAAAAAATCTTCTTTTAAAAAGCCCAATGAGCTAGAGCTTAAATGTTTAGCATGAAACATCTTCTTATGGGTGTCTACCAAGTTTGTGCAAATAAAAGCCCTTGGGTTAAATTGGCTCTGCAACGTTGGGGGGGGGGGGTGGGGGTTGGGGGGGGGGGGGCCTATATACAGGTGAGCGACCTCAGGGCCATCATGGCCTCTTGTTAATTTTCATACTTAATTTTTGTCCAGGCATTTCTCCGAAAGTATAAAAGTTATGGACTTGATACTTCATAGGATGATAGATCTCATTAAGAAAAAGTGCAGTGCATAAGAACTGATACTCTGCATTTCTATTTTTGTGTTATTGCCATTTCTTACTTTATTTTTGTCCTGGTCATTTCTCCTCAAGTATGAAAGCTATGGACTTGAAACATCATAGAATGATAGATTTTATTGATAAGAAAGGCAGTGCACAGAAACTGCTGCTCTGCACTTATTATTTTTTTAGTTATTGCCCTTATTGCACTTACTGTGTTTATCAAGTTTCCAAAATTTTGAATGAATCAACAACCTATTCTTTTGATTTAAGATAGTACAAGAGTAGAGTTGATTTAGATATTTGGAGCTGGTGGTAACTTTCTGGTTTTAAAGTTTGTTTATGATACGGCTTAGCTCATTAGGGATAGCATAACATTAATAAACCAGGGGTTGATGGTTAGATCCTTGGGCAAGGAGATATTTGTCCTTGGCAGTTGATCTCAGACATTGTGTCATATTGTAATTTGTGTCTCATTTTTGATTAAGAAATCATGAGGGTTTAGTAGTCTGTCACTAGCAGAGAAATCGATAATTACTGGTTAGTTATCCAGGAAAGTAGGTAAGGTGGACTGACCACCAAGATAGGATCCAAAATGTGCTTAAGGTGGTGTAAGAACTAATCAACCAAACAAACAAAATGTTAAAATGTTTCAGGTTTTTGGAAGTTGAAGGTAATGAAGAGACAGCCAACATATCTCAGCATGATATAGCCGAGGTTGTTGATGTTACCAGTGCTCAGAAGGTAAGATTACACTTGATTACTTAAGACACAACCATGATTTTCTCAATGATAATTGGGTAGTTCCACAAATAAACTTGGGATTTAAGTTTCAGATAAGCAACAAGTTTTCTTCATGATCAAGCCTATGAAAATAATGTTCATACTTAACTAACAAAGGTTGTAACCCAGGTTGGTCCATATGAAATTTACCCCAGAAATGATCATTGGTGATGTCTATATTGAAAATGGACAAGTCCAGTTAAGATATTTAGCGTGGTATGAGTTAATTGTAGTATATTGAAAATCTCTGAAATAAACAAGAGACTTTTCAAATTTAAACCAAAGCAATGTTTTTTTCATGCATAGGACATAGCCTTAAGCCTTCCTAGATGGTTCATATACATGAATACTCAAACCTGGTGTTAAGTAGACAATACACTGTGCATTCATCTGTGAAGAGCATCAATGTTTTTTATTTGGTGCACAATAAATACAAAATCTATGTTAAAAATATAGAGAAATAGGCCAACATAAAAAAACCTTATAATCAGATACAGAGAAACAAAGGAATGCCCAAAAGTCAAGATGGACAATGTCACAGACTTGGTTTGATTGAGTCTGTTTCAAATTTCATACATTAAAAAAGAAAAAGAAAAAAAAGAAAAGAAAAATTGGTAACTATGATAAAAGTTTTTTTTTCTTTTTCAGTATTTTGATTTGAAGTTAAAAGATTTTGGCCCATACAGAATAAACTATACTCGTAATGGTAGATTTCTATTGATGGGCGGGGCCAAAGGTCATGTGGCAGCCATTGATTGGATGACCAAGAAATTGTTGTGTGAAATGAATGTGATGGAGACAGTTAGCGATGTAAGGTAGGTAGTTAGACAAATTTCTGCTAAGGATGGGAAATATAGTGTAATATTTGAAACACCACTCAATATTATGATATTGAAAAAATAATTTGAATATTTTTTGGAGGGGGGGGGGGGGAGTTTGGAGATTGCAGTTTAAGTCTGTGCCTGACAAGGAGTTCACATATATGTGTCAATGAACCCATTATCTCTGTCAAAAGTTGAAAGACAAGAGTCGGTAGTAATTGAGCAGGTTTAAACCTTTGTTTCACATCTTAGTAATTATAAATCTGCATTGTGAGTTTGATGGAAATTTTTTCCATGAAAAATGGATGAGAATAACATTGGAAAATGTTAAACTGTCTTTAATTTCCTACCAGTTTCTTGAATAAAAAGGTAAAGAAGGGCTGAATGGGTGTTTGATAAATTGCTCGATTTTTGGGGGATTCTGGATCATGTATAAATAGGAACTCTATATACATTTCGATCTTTAATCAATAAAACACACAATTATATAACTGCAGTAAATATTTCACTAAAACTTTGGATATTGGTATGGTTAACTGACATGGTTTCCAGACAAAAAAAAAACAATTTTGGACATATAAAAAAGAGGAAAAAACATCTTGGATAATGAAATGAAAAAAAGTTTTGGAATAAATTGGGATAATAATGAAAAATGAATATTCTTTCATCAAAATTCTGATCTGACTTCGTTCGTGGCTTAAATATTTGCAAATCTCAGGTTTCATTAGACTTATGAACTGTTTTAATTAATTGTGTAATAATTTCAATCTCAGAATGTACATGATCCTTTTTTTAGCTCACCTGTCACAAAGTGACAGGGTGAGCTTTTGTGATCGCTTTTCGTCCGGCGTCCGTCCGTCCGTCGTCCGTCCGTCCGTAAACTTTTGCTTTAAATGACATCTCCTCATAAACCACTGAGCCAATTTCATCCAAACTTCACAGGAATGTTCCTTTGGTGGTCACCTTTAGAAATTGTTCAAAGAATTTAATTCCATGCAGAACTCTGGTTGCCATGGCAACCAAAAGAAAAAACTTTAAATATCTTCTTTTAAAAAACCATAAGAGCTAGAGCTTAGATATTTGGCATGAAACATCTTCTAGTGAGTGTCTACCAAGTTTGTTCAAATAAAAGCCTTGGGGTCAAAATTGGCCCCGCCCCTGGGGGTCATTGATTTTCCCTATATGCATATAGTAAAAACTAAAAAAAATCTTCTTTTAAAGAACCGTAAGAGCTAGAGCTTAGATATTTGGCATGAAACATCTTCTAGTGAATGTCTACCAAGTTTGTTCAAATAAAAGCCCTGGGGTCAAAATTGGCCCCGACCCAGGGGGTCATTGATTTTCCCTATATGCATATAGTAAAAACTTAAAAAATCTTCTTTTAAAGAACCCAAAGAGCTAGAGCTAAGATATTGAGCATGAAACATCTTCTAGTGAGTGTCTACCAAGTTTGTTCAAATTAAAGCCCAGGGGTCAAAATTGGCCCCGCCCCGGGGGTCATTGATTTTCCCTATATGCATATAGTAAAAACTTAAAAAATCTTCTTTTAAAGAACCATAAGAGCTAGAGCTTAGATATTTGGCATGAAACATCTTCTAGTGAATGTCTACCAAGTTTGTTCAAATAAAAGCCCTGGGGTCAAAATTGGCCCCGCCCCGGTGGTCATTGATTTTCCCTATATGCATATGGTAAAAACTTAAAAAATCTTCTTTTAAAGAACCATAAGAGCTAGAGCTTAGATATTTGGCATGAAACATCTTCTAGTGAATGTCTACCAAGTTTGTTCAAATAAAAGCCCTGGGGTCAAAATTGACCCTGCCCCAGGGTTCATAGATTTTCCCCATATGCATATAGTAAAAACTTAAAAAAATCTTCTTTTAAAGAACCCAAAGAGCTAGAGCTAAGATATTTAGCATGAAACATCTTCTAATGAGTGTCTACCAAGTTTGTTCAAATAAAAGCTCTGGGGTCAAAATTGGCCCCGCCCCAGAGGGTCATTGATTTTCCCTATATGCATATAGTAAAAACTTAAAAAATCTTCTTTTAAAGAACTCAAAGAGCTAGAGCTAAGATATTTAGCATGAAACATGTTCTAATGGGTGTCTACCAAGTATGTTCAAATAAAAGCCCTGGGGTCAAAACTGGCCCCGCCCGGGGGGGGGGGGGGGGGGGGTGGTCATTGATTTTCCTTATATGTGTATAGCAAAAACTTAAAAATCTTCTTTGGAAAAAACCCAAATAGCTAGAGTTTAGATATTAAGCATGAAACATCTTTAAGTAAATATCTACAAAGTTTGTTAAAATAAAAGCCCGGGGGTCAAAACTGTCCCTGCCCCAGGGGTGACATTGTTTTTAACTATATGTGTATAGTAAAAACTTTAAAAATCTTCTTTAAAAAAGCCCATGAGCTAGAACTTAGATGTTTAGCATGAAACATCTTCTTATGGGTGTCTACCAAGTCTGTTCAAATAAACAAATAAAAGCCCTTGGGTAAAAATTGGCCCGGGGGTGGGGGGTCTATATACAGGTGAGCGACCTCAGGGCCATCATGGCCCTCTTGTTCTGATTATCTACATTAATATTTGATATATTAGATAACAAATACATTATTAGTCTCCTACCGGTTTACCGGAGGGGACTTTAGGTTTACTCTCCGTCCGTCTGTCCGTCTGTCTGTCAGGACGTCAGTCCGTCCGTCCACAAAACTGGATCCCGCGATAACTTGAAAAGTACTGAAAATATTTTTATGAAACTTGATATATGGATAGATGGCAGTATGGAGATTATGCACGTCTTTTTCTTTTGTTCCTATGTTGAAAATTCTGGTTGCTATGGCAACAAATAGGCTGAAAATATGTCAAATTTTACACATAAACTGGATCCAGTGATAACTCAAAAAGTACTGGAAATATTTTTATCAAACTTGAAATATGGGTAGATGGCAGTCTGGAGATTATGCACGTCTTTTTCTTTTATTCCTATGTTGAAAATTCTGGTTGCTATGGCAACAAATAGACTGAAAATATGGCAATTTATACACATAAACTGGATCCAGTGTTAACGCAAAAAGTAATAGAAATATTTTTATGAAACTTGTAATATGTGTAGATGGCAGTCTGGAGATTATGCACGTCTTTTTGTTTTCTTCCTATGTTGAAAATTCTGGTTGCAATGGCAACACATAGACTGAAAATATGGCAAATTTTACACATAAACTGAATCCAGTGATAACTCAAAAAGTACTGGGTACTGGAAATATTTTTATGAAACTTGACATATGGGTAGATGACAGTCTTGAGATTATGCATGTCTTATCTATTCTTCCTATTTTGAAAAAATATCAGTTGCCTTGGCAACAAATAGGCTTAAAACATGGCAAATATAACAATATTTGTGATAAGTCAAAAAGAGCTGAAATTTTTATGAAATTGCATCTTTAATTCCAGAGTTATCTCCTCTTTAAGAATTTTGCTTTTTAGCTCACCTGAGCTTGCTCAGGGTGAGCTTTTAGGATCGATGAATGTCCGTCGTCCGTCGTCCGTCCGGCCGTCCACAATTGCTTGTGAACACTCTAGCGGTCGCATTTTTGCCTCAATCATCATCAAACTTGGTCAGGATGCTTATCTAGTTGAAAGCTCGGATGAGTTCGAACATGGGTCATCTCAGATGAAAAACTAGGTCACAAGAGCTAAAAATAGAAAAACCTTGTGAACACTCTAGAGGTCACATTTTTGACCCAATCTTCATCAAACTTGGTCAGGATGTTTGTCTAGGTGATAGCTCGGATGAGTTCGAACATGGGTCATCTCGGATGAAAAAGTAGGTCACAGGAGCTATAAATAGAAAAACCTTGTGAACAATCTAGTGGTCACATTTTTGAACCAATCATCATCAAACTTGGTCAGAATGCTTGTCTAGTCAATTGCTTGGATGAGTTCGAACATGGTCATCTCTGATGAAAAACTAGGTCACAGGAGCTAAAAATAGAAAAACCTTGTGACCACTCTAGTGGTCACATTTTTGACCCAATCATCATCAAACTTTGTCAGGATGCTTGTTTAGATAATAGCTTGGATGAGTTCGAATATGGGTCATCTCGGATGAAAAACTAGGTCACCGGAGCTATAAATAGAAAAACCTTGTTAACACTCTAGCGGTCACATTTTTGCATCAATCATCATCAAACTTGGTCAGGATGCTTATCTAGTTGATAGCTTGGATGAGTTCGAACATGGGTCATCTCGGATGAAAAAGTAGGTCACCGGAGCTAAAAATAGAAAAACCTTGTTAACACTTTAGCGGTCACATTTTTGCATCAATCATCATCAAACTTGATCAAGATTCTTGTCTAGGTAATAACTCGGATGAGTTCGAACATGGGTCATCTCGGATGAAAAACTAGGTCACAGGAGCTAAAAATAGAAAAACCTTGTTAACACTCTAGTGGTCACAATTTTGACTCAATTGTCATCAAACTTGGTCAGGAAACTTGTCTAGGTCATTGCTGGGAATAAATCGAACATGGGACATCTCGGATGAAAAACTAGGTCACAGGAGCTAAAAATAGAAAAATCTTGTTAACACTCTAGTGGCTACTGTTGTGATCCAAATATTCTGTTAATTGGTCTGAAAGTTTGTTTTGATGATTTCTAAGTCAAGATCGAACATGGGTCATCTTGGATGAAAAACTAGGTCACACCGCCCAAATATGGAAAAACCTTGTTAACATTCTAGTGGTCACATTTTCGACTCCATTATCATCAAACTTGGTCAGAATGCTTGTCTAGGTAATTGCTTGGATGAGTTCGAAATCGCATGTGAAACTAGGTCACCGGAGCTAAAAATAGAAAAATCTTGTTAACACTCTAGTTGCTACTGTTTTGATCCAAGTATCCTGGAAATTGGTCTGAAAGTTTGTTTTGATGATTTCTAGGTCAAGTTTGAATATGTGTCACCTGGGTAAAAAACTAGGTCGCACTGCTCAAATATGGATAATCCTTGTTAACACTGTAGTGGTCACATTTTTGACTCACCTGTCATGAGACTTGGTCAGAATGCTTGTCTAGGTAATTATTTGGATGAGTTTGATAATTCAGGTGAGCGATCTAGGGCCATCATGGCCCTCTTGTTAAAATGTTATATTTTGGTAACAGGGATGTTTCAAATATTAACTTTAGAGTGTCCTTCAGTCCGTCTGTCTGTCTGTTCATAAAAACTGTTTCCTGTGATCACTTTTAAAGAACTTTTCCAACAAATTTACTTAAAATAGAGAAAAATTGAAACATTAGTGAATGGCCAATGGCCCTTCAGAATGTTGATGGGGTTCTAACCGGTAGGGGACTTATGGATTGCTTGCAATGCTATGATAATTGCTTGTTATGTTGTGTAATTTACTGTTCAATTGATTCAGTGGATTTGTTTGATGGAATGGCAAGGAGAACATCAGAGAATAACTTAAGCCTGTACTGTTTAATTATACACATTTAGCTATCACCAGGGTTTTCATTATTAACAGATTGGCAATCCATATCAGTTGAAATGCTGTTTAAATTGGTTGTATTTTTAGCCTGTAGATTTAAATTTTCCCCTTGACGCTTGGCCAAATTAGCAGTTTTCATTGGCACATCGGTTGCCACAGATAATAATGAAAACCCTTTATCAGTCAATACTGTTCTACAGTACTTATTGAGTTATTCCATAAATTGATAAAAAATTAACTTAAAGCTTATTTAATATTTTACTCCACTGATATAAAACTTGACTATATTATACAGATGGCTTCACCAGGAGACAATGTATGCAGTGGCACAGAAACAGTGGACATATATCTATGACAACCAGGGTATTGAACTTCACTGTCTCAAGATCTTAGACAGTGTGCTTAGAATGGAGTTCTTGCCATACCACTTCCTCCTGGCTACTGCAGTATGTATACAGTTATATTAACCCTTATGTCACAGGGGGAGAAAAATGTGACCGGGACTCGAATTTGAGACCCTCAGAATACCATTCTGCGGCTCTACGGACGAAGCTATGCAGTTGTTTACACATTTTCTCCCCTAAATAGTGAACAGTTCTGAAGCATGAGACTTACCATGCTAAATATCTTTAACGGAATTGTCCAGATTTCAGTTTGGACAAAACCATTTGTCATTGCTAGGTGAAATTTCATAATAAGTACTGACTGAATAGCCAACAGTGCAAACTATGATCATATTTTATATATGTGCTGGCTGATTGGTCAGCTGTGGTGAATGATGACACAGTAAATTGGTCAAAATTTCATTTGCTGACAGTCAAAAGTTTATGCATATTAATCATATATATGTATTGAACAAATTTTTATGCTTAACACTCTAATCTACTCCTTAATGGACGTAAGTAGTCTGTTTGGACTTGTGCTTATTTTCCATGTTGCAAAGCCTCCGGTAGTTTTTGAGAAATGGAAAAAAAATTTCCAAATTATTCATACAATTTTTATGAAGATACCGTGAAACCTCACTTAACCAAATGGCTTAAGGACCAAAGCTTTTTGTTGGTTTTAGAGGGATTTTTTTAGCTCACCTGTCACTTTGTGACAGGGTGAGCTTTTGTGATCACTTATTATCCGGTGTCCGGCCGTCGTCCGTAAACTTTTACTTTAAATGATATCTCCTCATAAACCACTAAGCCAATTTCATCCAAACTTCACAGGAATGTTCCTTTGGTGGTCACCTTTGAAAATTGTTCAAAGAATTTAATTCCATGCAGAACTCTTGTTGCCATGGCAACCAAAAGAAAAAAACTTTAAATATCTTCTTCTAAAAAACCCAAAGAGCTAGAGCTAAGATATTTGGCATGAAACATCTTCTAGTGAGTGTCTACCAAGTTTGTTCAAATAAAAGCCCTATGGTCAAAATTGGCCCCGCCCCAGGGGGTCATTGATTTTTCCTAATATGCATATAGTAAAAACTTAAAAATCTTCTTTTAAAAAACCCAAAGAGCTAGAGCTAAGGTATTTAGCATGAAACATGTTCTAATGGATGTCTACCAAGTTTGTTCAAATAAGAGCCCTTGGGTCAAAATTGGCCCCGCCCCGGGGGACATTGATTTTCCTTATATGTGTATAGCAAAAACTTAAAAATCTTCTGCGAAAAAACACGAATAGCTAGAGTTAAGATATTAAGCATGAAACATCTTCTAGTAAGTGTCTACAAAGATTGTTCAAATAAAAGCCCTGGGGTCAAAACTGGCCCTGCCCCAGGGGTGTCATTGTTTTTAAATATATGTGTAAAGAAAAAATTTAAAAAATCTTCTGCGAAAAAACACGAATAGCTAGAGTTAAGATATTAAGCATGAAACATCTTCTAGTAAGTGTCTACAAAGATTGTTCAAATAAAAGCCCTGGGGTCAAAACTGGCCCTGCCCCAGGGGTGTCATTGTTTTTAAATATATGTGTAAAGAAAAAATTTAAAAAATCTTATTTTAAAAAACCCAACGAGCTAGACCTTAGATGTTTAGCATGAAACATCTTCTAATGGATGTCTACCAATTTTGTTCAAATAAAAGCCCTTGGGTTTAAACTGGCCCCACTCTGTGGGGCCTTTATACAGGTGAACGACTTCAGGGCCATCATGGCCCTCTTGTTTCTGGAAATGTTTGGTAAAGTTGAGTCTGTATCTTAATTCACATTTTATATACTGTTCCTATATTTCAGAATTCTAAAGGATATCTATCATATGTAGATGTGTCAATTGGGGAGAAAGTGGCTGGGTATGGTACAGGTCTGGGGCGACTGGACGTGATGTGTCAAAATCCAGCTAATGCTATTGTAGCGCTTGGTCATTCTGGAGGTAATAAATCTGTAATGTATTGACTCTGTGATAAATAAATAGTGATTTGAAAATAATTGGCAAAAAGATTGATTGAGTCACTTGTCCTTCACAGCTGTTGGTTCCAATCCCATCAAAGACTTTCAATTCTTTCTTTCGAGGAAACTCTCCAGCTTGCTTACAGATCATATGGTTCTACATACCCCCTCCCCCCCTTAAAAAAGAAAAGAAAAAAATCAAAATTACAAATATGCATTAAGACATTATTGCTTAAAAGTATTTATCAACATTATTATGCCCCCATTTTGAAAAAAAGGGGGTATATTGCTTTGCACTTGTCGGTCCGTCGGTCCGTAGACCAAATGGTTTCCGAGTGATAACTAAAGAACCCTTAGGCCTAGGAACTTCAAACTTGGTATGGTGATTGGTCATGACCAGTAGATGACCCCTATTGATTTTGGGGTCAAGGGGTCAAAGGTCAAGGTCACATTGACCTTGAAAGCAAAAACGGTTTCCGATCAATAACTAAAGAACCTTAAGGCCTAGGAACTTCAAACTTGGTATGGTGATTGGTCATGACCAATAGATGACCCCTATTGATTTTGGGGTCAAGGGGTCAAAGGTCAAGGTCACATTGACCTTGAAAGCAAAAACGGTTTCCGATCAATAATGAAAGAACCTTAAGGCCTAGGAACTTCAAACTTGGTATGGTGATTGGTCATGACCAGTAGATGACCCCTATTGATTTTGGAGTCAAGGGGTCAAAGGTCAAGGTCACATTGACCTTGAAAGCAAAAACGGTTTCTGATTAATAACTAAAGAACCTTAAGGCCTAGGAACTTCAAACTTGGTATGGTGATTGGTCATGACCAGTTGATGACCCCTATTGATTTTGGGGTCAAGGGGTCAAAGGTCAAGGTCACATTGACCTTGAAAGCAAAAACGGTTTCCGATCAATAACTAAAGAACCTTAAGGCCTAGGAACTTCAAACTTGGTATGGTGATTGGTCATGATCAGTAGATGACCCCTATTGATTTTGGGGTCAAGGGGTCAAAGGTCAAGGTCACATTGACCTTGTAAGCAAAAAACGGTTTCTGATCAATAACTAAAGAACCTTAAGGCCTAGGAACTTCAAACTTGGTATGGTGATTGGTCATGATCAGTAGATGACCCCTATTGATTTTGGGGTCAAGGGGTCAAAGGTAAAGGTCACATTGACCTTGTAGGTAAAAACGGTTTCCGATCAATACCTAAAGAACCTTAAGGCTTAGGAACATCAAACTTGGTATGGTGATTGGTCATGATCAGTAGATGACCCCTATTAATTTTGGGGTCAAGGGGTCAAAGGTCAAGGTCACATTGACCTTGTAGGTAAAAACGGTTTCCGATCAATAATGAAAGAACCCTTAGGCCTAGGGACTTCAAACTTGAGATGGTGATTGGTCATGATCAGTAGATGACCCCTATTGATTTTGGGTTCTAGGGGTCAAAGGTCAAGGTCACATTGACCTATTAGGTAAAAACGGTTTCCGATCAATAACTTAAGAACCCTTAGGCCTAGGAACTTCAAACTTGGTATGGTGATTGGTCATGACCAGCAGATGACCCCTATTGATTTTGGGGTTAAGGGGTTAAAGGGCAAGGTCACATTGACCTTGTACGTAAAAATGCTTTCGGATCAATAACTTAAGAACCCTTATGCCTAGGAACTTCAAACTTGGTATGGTGATTGGTCATGACCAGCAGATGACCTATTGATTTTGGGGTCAAGGGGTCAAAGGTCAAGGTCACATTGACCTTGTAGGTAAAAACGGTTTCCGATCAATTAACTAAAAACGCTTAGGCCTAGGAACTTCAAACTTTGTGTGATGATTGGGCATGACCAGCAGATGACCCCTATTGAGTTTTAGGTGAAGGGGTCAAAGGTCAAGGTCACATTGACCTTTTAAGTAAAAACGGTTTCTGATCAATAATTCAAGAACGCTTAGGCCTAGGAACTTCAAACTAGGAACTTCAAACTTGGTATGGTGATTTGTCATGACCAGCAGATTACTCCTATTGATTTTGGGATCAAGGGGTCAAAGGTCAAGGTCACAATGACCTTGTAAGTAAAAACGGTTTCTGATCAATAACTAAAGAACGCTTCGGCCTAGAAACTTCAAACTTGGCATGGTGATTGGTCATGACCAGCAGATGACCCCTATTGTTTTTGGGGTCAAAGGTCAAGGTCACATTGACCTTGTATGTTAAAACGGTTTCCGATCAATAATAAGAGAACCCTTAGGCCTAAGAACTTCAAACTTGGCATGGTGATTGGTCATGACCAGCAGATGACCCCTATTGATTTTGGGGTCAAGGGGTCAAAGGTCAAGGTCACATTGACCTTGTAGGTAAAAACGGTTTCTGATCAATTTACTAAAAACGCCTAGGCCTAGGAACTTCAAACTTTGTTTGATGATTGGTCGTGACCAGCAGATGACCCCTATTGAGTTTTGGGTCAAGGGGTCAAAGGTCAAGGTCATGACCAGTAGATACTTTATAACCCTTATTAATTGTTTGATCACTGGGTCAGAAGTCATGCATAATAACCTAATCACATGACTAATTGGCTGCTGATAGGGGGCATACATGTTTTACAAACATATCTTGTTATCTTTTGACAATCAAAGAACTCAAACATCTTTATCATGACTTAAATGTGTTAATGACATGCAAGTTAATAAACTTGATTTAATATAGTTTCTGTATTTGGAGCAGTGGTCGTCATTTACATATTTATTTTAGTATCAATTTGATAATTCAGTATAAAAAAACGACAAAAAAATCCCAGAAACATCCTGTTGTTGAAACTGATATGATCTCAAAAAAACACTAACATCATGACTTTTTGTTTCAAACTGGTAGAATGAATTTGACTTCTCAGTTGAAAGAAAGATTGAATTGATTGATATTCAGACTGGCTGGGGACAGCTTTATGAATTAAGTGTGAATTTTTCTCATTAAACATTTTGTACATCCTCCAATTCTTGAGAGGAAATCATTTAATTTTAACTGAAAAAAATATTATTCAAAATTTTCGGTTAAATGATAAATTTATTTTATCTCCAGAAATCTTTTGGTGAAAAAAAAACGAGACAAACTCCAACTTATCGTTGATTTTACATTTGACACAACCATGGCATGTGTCATGTTTAATTTAAGTGGTACATTTTAAGCGCTTCAATGAAAATATGATGATGATTATTTTTTATTGTGAACTTTTTTATTTTGTATGTATGATAAAGAGAATATTACATTCATTTTAGTTTTATTACATTTTCTCAATTTATTAAACTTGTTGATTAACAAAAAAAATCAAGATTCACTTTCAAACATATTGGCGCCACAATTAATCGTGAGTAACTGTTACTCAAACAAGAGATCATGTGATTATATACCCAGTATTATCCTGATTAAAAGATGGAGAAGTCCCATTTCACTGTTTATTTTCTCCTCTATTTGTCTATGTTTTGTTGTAGATGGATTTTATTTGATCTTTTAATGATCCAAATGTATATATGAATTTTTCTTTGATATATATTACAGGGACAGTAACACAATGGTGCCCTAAGATGAAGGAACCAGTTGTAAAGATGTTATGTCACAACTCAGGGGTTAGATCTGTTACGATTGACAAGTCAGGATTGTAAGTCAAAATTTCAAAAATTTAATGAGAAATATAAATTCATTTTGAATGATATTTAGCTCATCTATTTGAAGAATATGGAGACTGAGCTAATTTACTCACACTGGTGACCGCCTCCGTGGTCGAGGGGTTAGAGTCAATGACTTCTAATCCAGTTACCTCTCTGGCCTGGGTTCGATCCCCGGGAGATGCTTTGGTAGTTTAGCACGGAGGAAGGTATTCTAGTACTGATGTAACTCTCCAGGAACGATGGTTAGAAAACTACCCGCCTATATGACTGAAATACTGTTGGAAAAAGGCGTAAAATGAAACAAACAAACAAACAAACAAACTCACCCTGGTCTCGGTTAAAATTTCACATGCAAGTTGATATCTCCAAAACTACTGAAGACAAAAGATTGACATGCTGGTTCTATGCCCCGTTTCTTACTGTCAAGAACTTGGAATAATAAAGCATGTTTTGTGTTTATAGATATAACTTTCAAAAATAATTGCTACTGTAACATAAGATATTTTCACAAGACCAGAAGTTTCAGGAAGTCCAGATTTTTGACTAACTAGTGATAATCGATATATTGAAAATTGCTTTTTTCAGTTCTGTTAATTTTTTAGTGAACATTTATTTTCGCAAAATTCATTAATTTATTTAATAAGCAAAATTAAACCACTGGTGAAAATTTAAGGCCTATGATATTAGTGTAGCTTTGAAACATCTTTTTATGCCCCCGCCATATAATGGCATATAGTGTTACCCAGTTCCATCATTCCATCCTGCCGTCATTCTGTCATTCCGTCATCATCAGTTTCCATTAATTATCTTAGTAACGGTTGCACACATTCAACTCAAATTTGACATATGGATATGTCATGAGAAAATACAGGTCAAGTTCGAATTTGGTCATGGTTCGATGATTTTTGGCAGAGTTATGCCCCTTTTACTTTGAAAATAATATGAAATTTTCAGTTTCCGTTCATTATCTCCCCAACGGTACAACAGATTCAACTCGAACTTGACATATGGATACGCCAAAGGAGTGCGCAGGTCAAGTGATGACATATTTCTAGTTTACATCTTTTTTATACGCCCGTTTGAAAAACGGGACGTATTATGGGAACGCCCCTGGCGGGCGGGCGGGGGGCGTCCAATTTTGTCCGGAGCATATCTCCTACATGTATGGAGGGATTTTAATGAAACTTCATAGAAATGTTCACCACTATGAGGAGCAGTGTCGCGCACATGAACCAGGTCTCTAGGTCAAAGGTCATGGTCACACTTAGAGCTCATTGAAAAATGCTTGTCCGGAGCAAAACTTCCACATGTATAGAGGGATTTCAATATTACTTGGCACAAATGTTCACCATTGTGAGGCGGAGTGTCGCGCGCAAGATTCAGGTCCTTGCGGCCAAGGTCAAGGTCACACATAGAGGTCAAAGTTCAGATAAAAATATGAAGATGTGTATATGGACCATTTAGTCATCATTTATTGAGGGATTGTAACACAAATGGTCATTATCAAGACTATGGCTGTAATACATATAATTTATGTCAATATATACAAGGTCAAGGTCACTAAAGATGATGAAATATCCAGATTTTCAGATTTTGTCCCGAGCATATCTCCTACACGCATGGAGGGATTTTAATGAAATTTCATAGAAATGTTCACCATTATGAGAAGCCATGTCACGCACATGAACTAGGTCTCTAGGTCAAAGGTCAAGGTCACACTTAGAGCTCATTGAAAAACGCTTGTCCGGAGCAAAACTTCCACATGCATAGAGGGATTTCAATATAACTTGGCACAAATGTTCACCATTGTGAGGCGGAGTGTCGCGCACAAAATTCAGGTCCCTGCAGCCAAGGTCAAGGTCACACATAGAGGTCAAAGTTTAGATAAAAATATGAAGATGTGTATAGGGACGATTTAATCATCATTTATTGAGGGATTGTAACACAAATGGTCATAATGACTATCATGACTATGGCTGTGACACATGTACTTTAGGTCAATATATGCAAGGTCAAGGTCACTAAAGATGGTGAAATATCCAGATTTTGTCTGGAGCATATCTCCTACATGTATGGAAGAATTTTTATAATACTTTATGGAAATGTTCACCACCATGATATGTATTGCTCCATGCATGATCCAGGTCTCCAGGTCAAAGGTCAAGGTCACACTTAGAGCTCATTGAAAAACGCTTGTCCGGAGCAAAACTTCTACATTCATAGGGGGATTTCAATATAACTTGGCACAAATGTTCACCATTGTGAGGCTGAGTGTCGCACGCAAAATTCAGATCCCTGCGACCAAAGTCAAGGTTACACATAGAGGTCAAAGTTCACATTTAATTTAGGTTAATATTTGCAAGGTCAAGGTCACTGGAGATGATTAAATATCCAGATGTCGTCCGGAGCATATTTTCTACATGCATGGAGGAATTTTAATGTTACTTTATAGAATTGTTCACCACCATGAGACGTAGTGCCCTGCACATGAACCAAGTCTCTAGGTCAAAGGTGAAGGTCACAGTTAGAGCTCATAGAAAAACGCTTGTCTGGAGCAAAACTTCTACATGCATAGAGGGATTTCAATATAATTTGGCACAAATGTTCATCATTGTGAGGCTGAGTGCCGTGCATAAAATTCAGGTCCCTGCGACCAAGGTCAAGGTCACACATCCTGTGCATATCTTCCCTACTGATTTGTTTTAAGGTTCATTTAACAACACAGTGCCAAGAATAAAAACTTGCTTGCTAGATAACACTTATCCATAATGCCCCCATCTCCATCTAAAAATTTCGTAAACGGGCGTATTTTGTGACTATGGCACCCTTGTTTATGTGTTAACTGTCACTATCGGGGGATTTATTATAATTTGGTATTATTACAGGTACATGGCAACTTCAGGTATAGACAGAACGTTAAAGATATGGGATATGAGAACATATAAAATGTTGCAGTCATACAAGGTTCCGTCAGGGGCAGCTCAACTTTCCTTCAGTCAAAAGGGACTGTTAGCCTCCTGTATGGGAAATATAATACAGGTAAGACTGTTGTTAGGGCCTCCATGGGCTGATAATAAAGTACCCCTTATAGCTAAATCTTCAAATTTTGCTAGGAATTTCTTTAACATTTTCTTGTGAGGGAGCTGAAAGTCAATTAGAAATCTGGAAAATAGGTGATCCCTCATAAGCAATGAAATTACAAGAAGTTAGTTCATGAGAGATAATATTAAAGCGCAACATTGGTCACTGCCCTTTGGACCAGCTGAAGCGTAATTCAAACTCAACGCTAATGTGCTTGAATCAATGATCCTGTAATACCCGAAAAATATAACAACGCTGTCTGCATGAAGCGATGCTGGTAGGGGCCTCTTAGGGGCATTCTTTTGAAGAGAGCGAGTTCTATAAATAGTAATTCTATATTAATTCTATTTTTAGGTATATAATGACTGTTGCAGACAAAAAGTAAGCAGTCCATATTTAGTTCATGATGTTCATGCATCAGCACACAGTCTACAGTTCTATAAATAGTAATTCAATATTAAATTCTATTTTTAGGTATATAATGATTGTTGCAGACAAAAAGTAACCAGTCCATATTTAGTTCATGATGTTCATGCATCAGTACACAGTCTACAATTCTGTCCATATGAAGATGTTCTGGGAGTAGGTCATGCAGATGGATTCAGCAGTTTAATTGTTCCAGGTAAATCTTGTCATTAACAAAAAAATCTTTAAGATTTTGAGTAACTTTGCCAGTGGTATTCTGAAATTGTATATGATTCTTGCATTCTTTTCACCCCAGTTTACAGGAATAATCCTTAAGTGGTCACCTTAAAAAGTAGTAAAAGGAAATGAGCATAAATATTCAGTATGATGCAGTGCCTAGTGGTCCATGATCAAACTTAAATAAAACATGCCTCAAAGGGGTGTCTATGTTCAAGTGATTAAGTCTGTTGACGTCAAATCACTTACCATTCACCAGTGTAGGGTCATGTCCCGCCTGGGACTTCTGATTCTTTTACATGAGGAAGCTATCCATCTATCTTTCAAATGTTGGTAGTGCTACTCTGGTGCCCATTCCTGTATGAAATAATGCATTAAGGGTCAAGGTCTTTCTTCACCGCAAAAGCTTGAAAGTTGTCACATGGCCTATACTGTGATGGTGTGCCATAGAACCCTACCAAAAGTATTCAGTGGTCAGTATTAGGTCTCTTATTTCATATCTATTGGTCAACATGATTAACCACAAGTGTATCTTGTTGTCTGAACCTACATGGGCCAAAGAGGATGGGGGAAGGGTGCTGGTAATGATAAATAAAATCTAAAACAATTATTTGCAAATATTTTGTATTTAAGGTGCTGGAGAACCAAATTTTGATGCTCTAGAGACAAATCCATACCAGACCAAGAAACAGAGACAGGAAGCAGAAGTTAAAATGTTGTTAGATAAGGTATGTACAAGTTTATTTCATTTAACAATTTCATACACTATCGGAAGGGGTTCTCAGTGGCTAACCAGCTCATGGAAGGTTGGGTGGTTCTACTTGCACGCATGCCTATGTTGCTGTTGCTTTTTTTCCTCAAATAAAACTGGACCAAAAACCAAACCTATTGGGCAAGGTAAATTATTTCATGTGAGAAAGCTATCAGGCTGCACCAAGGTGGCTGCTTGTGCCCCGAATGATGCACTGTAGGGCCATCTTATGTCTATCTCCACCAGTAAAAGGTAAAGAGTGACCACAGGATATGACTGTCACAGTGAATGAGTCAAGGCCAAAGTGATACAAACAAATTGACATTTTGCCAAATATAAAAAATGTGCGCATAATAGAAGAAAAGTAATTATACCCCCAAAAACGAAGTTTGGGGGGGTATATAGGAGTCACCCGGTGGTCGGTTGGTCGGTCGGTCGGTCGGGCGGTCGGTCGGTCGGTCCAGACGTCCGTTGCATTTTCCTTGTCCGGACCATAACTTGAAGACTAATGGTTGGAATTCAATATAACTACATACAATGGTCAAGCACATTGAGAGGAAGTGCAGTGCACAAGAACCATAACTCTATCTTGACTAATTACAGAGTTATTGCCCTTTGTTACTTTTCCTTGTCCGGGGCATAACTTGAAAACTACTGGTTGGAATTCAAAACAACTTCATACAATTGTCAAACACAATAAGGGGAAGTGCAGTGCATAAGAACCATAACTCTATCTAAAGTAATTACAGAGTTATTGCCCTTTGTTACTTTTCCATTGCTTTCTTTTGTCCGGACCATAACTTGAAGGCTAATGGTTGGAATTCAATATAACTACATACAATGGTCAAGCACATTGAGAGGAAGTGCAGTGCACAAGAACCATAACTCTATCTTGACTAATTACAGAGTTATTGCCCTTTGTTACTTTTGCTTGTCCGGGGCATAACTTGAACACTACTGGTTGGAATTCAAAACAACTTCATACAATTGTCAAACACAATAAGGGGAAGTGCAGTGCACAAGAACCATAACTCTTTCTAAAGTAATTACAGAGTTATTGCCCTTTGTTACTTTTCCATTGCTTTCTTTTGTCCGGACCATAACTTGAAGACTAATGGTTGGAATTCAATATAACTACATACAATGGTCAAGCACATTGAGAGGAAGTGCAGTGCACAAGAACCATAACTCTATCTTGACTAATTACAGAGTTATTGCCCTTTGTAACTTTTCCTTTTCTGGGGCATAACTTGAAAATTACTGGTTGGAATTCAAAACAACTTCATACAATTGTCAAACACAGTAAGGGGAAGTGCAGTGCATAAGAACCATAACTCTATCTAAAGTAATTACAGAGTTATTGCCCTTTGTTACTTTTCCATTGCTTTCTTTTGTTCGGAGTATAACTTGAAGACTAATTGTTGGAATTCATTATAACTTCATACAATGGTCAAGCACATTGAGAGGTAGTGCAGTGCACAAGAACCATAACTCCATCTTGACTAATTACAGAGTTACTGCCCTTTGTTACTTTTCCATTGCTTTTTTTTGTCCGGAGCATAACTTGAAGACTAATGGTTGGAATTCAATATAACTTCATACAATGGTCAAGCACATTGAGAGGAAGTGCAGTGCACAAGAACCATAACTCCATCTTGACAAATTACAGAGTTATTGCCCTTTGTTACTTTTCCTTGTCCAGAGCATAACTTGAAAACTACTGTTTGGAATTCAATACAACTTCATACAGTTGTCAAGGACATTAAAAGGAAGTGCAGTGCATAAGAGCCATAACTCCATTTTGACAAAATACAGAGTTACTGCCCTTTGATACTTTTCCTTGTCTGGAGCATAACTTAAAACGTACTGGTTGAAATTCAAAACAACTTCATACAATGGTCAAGCACAAAAAGAGGGAGGAAGTGCAGTGCACAAGAACTATAACTCCATCTTCAGTATTTATAGAGTTATTGCCCTTTGTTCCTTTTCTTTGTATTTCTGGACTTATTACAGAGTAATTCAATAAAACTTCTTCAATGGTCAACCACATTGAAAGGAAATGCAATATACAAGAACCACAACTATCTTTAATTGCCCACAACCATAACTCTATATTTCAATTCTTTTACAAGGTATTCTGTTACTAGTAACATCCTCATTTCGGAAGCAGTCTTGTGGGGGTATTAATCACATTTAGTGATAGTTCTAGTTTGATTTGTATTGGATGTCTGATAGTTGTAAAACTGATTGTCAATAAAACTTAATGTGAGTTTTTAGATTTTGAAAGAGATATTTCACCATATTGTATGTTTCTGTTGAGATGGACACAGGTTTTGCCTGAATATTTTCCTCCACCAGTAAAGCTGGAATATTTCCGCATGTGTCTTACAATGTTAGTGTACTTTGACCCATACCTAACAGTGATCAGCCTTTGTCCTTAGTGTAGAGTCAGGTCAGCCTGCACATCTATGTAGTTTTACTCTGTTGGCTTACAAACTTTAAATTTTTATCTAAATATTCCCAAAATTTGTAATGAACAGTCCCAAAAACTGGAAACTGCTCATGTTTATGTGAGAAATTCAGCAGGTTAAGGGTTTAACATCTAATCAGAGATAAAAAATATCAATTTGAGCCAAACAGTTTGATACAACATTGATTTCTTGTAAATGGAAAATTTAATGTTTAATGATAGTACAATATAGTGTTGTTATATTATAGATCCCAGCAGAGATGATACATATTGACTCCAGCATTATTACACAAGTTGATAAGAAAACTCTCCAGGATAAAATAGATGAGCACAATAAAATCAGGGTATAACTATTATCTTAATATAACAATAAATTGTGTATTTCAAGATGTTTAAGAAAATGTCATTGTATGCTATGTTATCAATCTTATCTATTAGGTAATAGCAAACTTATGCAAGAAGCCTTGAAGTCAGGCTAGCCTGTATATCCATGCAGTCTTAACAGGCTATATACTGTACACATTTCAAAAGAGCTAAGTCGATAGGTCTTCCCTAACATGAACAATAAGGGCAAGTCCTGTATAGATTTAAATCAACATAAATCTGTTTATTATATTAATCTTATGTACATTAACTTAGTCCTTCATTGCTGTGGGTTGAAATCCTGCCAGGGACTTATGACTCTTTCATGTGAGGAAGCTATCCAGCTATCCATTTAGCTTACAGAAGGTCAGTTGTTCACCTCGGGTGCCAGCTTGTGCTTTAACTAATACAAAGGGGGCGCTTTAGGCCCCAACCCCCAACATGAAAGCTTGAAAGTTGCCATTTAATCTTACCAGTGTCAGTGTAACTAAAAAAAAAACAGTCTAAAATTTGTTAAGAAAATGTGAATATTATTGAAATTTATCATCTTTTTCAGCCCTATGCTGAACCTCTGAAAATGGAATATGAACCAAAATACAAGAAGAAGGGTCGGTCAAAAGGTGCGAAATTGGTTCAAAGAAAGAAAGGCTTTGTGGAGGAACATAAACGAAAAGAAATTAAACAATCCCTGCACAAGAAAAAACACAAAGCCAGACAGAATGTTGTGAATAAAAATAGAAACTTAACTGGTGGCAATGTTTTAAACAGATTTAAGAGGAAGACATAGTAGTTATTGTTTGAAGAAGATATGCAGGTCTATTATATACATCATATTTTCATCTAAGCAAAGACATATATTTTGATCTAAATATGAGTTATTAATCAATTACAATAGTTTCAAAGCAAAGCAAGGAGTTTATATGGAGTGCATCAGAAGTGAATAGTTCTAAGTTTTTAAATCAAGTTTGCCAAGTAAAAAGAAATCTGCTTTGAGAGCAGCAATTACAGATCTTTGCAATCTTTCTACAGCTATACTTTACTGGCTGGCCTAACTTTGAAGACTGAGCAGACTTTGCTGGGTCACCAGACTTTTCTGGTTGACTTAACTTTGCTGGTTCACCAAACTTTGCTGGATGTCCATGCATTTCTAGTTTACCAGAATTTAAAGACTGACCAAACAGATTTTTTAACTGTCCAGTCTTTGCTGGCTGACCAACTTTTGCTGGTTGACCAGACATGCTTACTGAGCAGTTTGTTCTGAATGACCAAACTTTGCTTGTTTACCAGATTTTGCTGGCTGACTGGACTTTGCCGGCAGACCAGACTTTTCTATCATCCCAAACTTTGCTGGTTGACCAGACCTCTAACATCACTTAATTTGCTGGTTGACAGCTTTTCTAATTGACCAGAATTATAATAAAGTTCTCCAAGGTTATTGACTGCTTGCCTATCACAAAGGTATATTGAGAAAAGTATCTAATTAGTTAACTAGGTTATGTTTGCGTTTCAAGCAGTGTACCCTAAAAATATCATATGGAAGGACATGTAGGGTATTCCTACACCAGTAAAGCTGCATTGTGTAAATGAATCAACTTGAATCCCAACAAAGTAGATAATGTTTTTTACTAGACATAATGTGTTCAGGATGGTTATGTTATTTACTCGCAATATTTCTTTCGAATCATGTAGAATTATGTTGAAAATGTAATTTTAAGTCCGTTGTTAATAGAATTTCAAATAAATTGTTGAACGAAATCATATTTGTTATCATTTTTGTCTTCAAGATGATAGTACAATGTTTGACTGGTTTGGTAACTTGTCTATATCACTATTATAGATGTACTTGGCATATACATTGTATACAGCCCTGTACTGTTGCATCTAAATTTATAGATCTGTCCTTAAAGAAAAAGTGTGGCTTTTGTCATGACCCACTCAGAGGCATTGGTTAATTTTCTTTTTTGTTAATCATTTTTGGTTAAGTTTTGGTTTATTATAATTATTACTTCAATATTGAAAAGTCTTTCACTAGTTTCCTACCAAGAACTGAGAAAAAGGAGCACCTCGGACTGCTTTATTACTTTATTTTTGTAAATTCTTTATTCAAAGCATGGCAAGTATGTTTTGCAAATGCAGCTTGATTGGGGCTATTGCACAGTACCCATTACCACCAATTTTAAAGGAATGCAATGCATGATTATTTAAATCACTTGTTGTATTTTCATTTTATTATATTAAAACAAATTTTAATTTCATTCACAATCTGACATACACATGGTGAAATTCGCCAAGTTCAAGAGCTAATTTAAGCACAAAAATTTCTTGTCCAACACTGAAGACATAGAAAATTACACTGCTGCTTTTTCTTCTGAATATACATTATCACCTACGTTGACAGTGTAAAATTTGTATACCAACTTGTCCTGTGGTCTTGTCAGAATACATCTTTTCACAGCTTGAGTAAAATATATTACCTCAGATAAACATATTCCATATTAATATAACTGATACACTAAATTGCATTACTGAAAAAAACTACATGTATAACAAACAACAATTGTGGTTAGATTTCTGTATTTTATTTCATGACAGATAAAAAAAAAATGTAACAATTTATCTTATTAATTAAATAAAACTTTTTGTCAAAACACAGTAAGTTTTTTATGATCATTTCGTTTTTGTTGATGTGTTTGCATGGTAGACTCGGAGGTTTTTAATCGTTCAAGATATCTCTCCATGGACTGTATCTTCTGTCTCACCTGACCCGCCATATTCCTATCCCTGTAATTAATTATAATATAGTTTGTTAAAATCACGGAATAATCTCCTCGGTTGAACTGGGTGATGCTCCCCAAATAGGTTTTGGACACAGGAAGTTATACTAGTACCTCTTGTAGTGTAAGAGTTATGTCACAGACAAAGTTCAAAGTTTTAAAACAAGGTAAAAGCGACCCAAATGTTGCAAGCGACAAGTCTTCTCAATATGATCATCATTTCTGTGAAATAGTTGTAAAATCCGACTTCAAATAAAGTTATGGGCCGGACACAATTTTGCTGCAAGGTCATGCTGTGACCTTGACCTTCAAGGTAGCGACCCAAATGTTGCGGGAGACACGTCATCTCAATATGGTGATCATTTCTGTGGAATAGTTGTAAAATCCGACTTCAAAGAACGAAGTTATGGGCCGGACACAAATTCGGGATGTTTGTACGGACTTTCTGACTGACGGATGGACGCACAACCCGGCGACTATAATGCTCCCCAGAAATTTTTCGGGGAGCATAAAATCAGTAATCATGGATAAGCCTAACACAGACTACAGGTTCTTAAGTCTTAAATTCAGGACTTGAGTATTGAAACCACTTAAAATTATCAATGAAAAGGTCTTAATTTCAAGCAAATCATATCTATTTCATCAATAGATAACAATAATGGGTTCTTTATTTCAGGTTTTCACTATTAAAATTCCATAAAAATAATGGGTGGCAACAAATTTTAATCATTATACTTAAGAAATGGCATTTACTTTGTCTTTCAAAATTTATCGTAAATAAAGTCTGTGAGATGGACCTATTGGGAATGGAGTTTTCTATCTGAGGCAATTTATATAAAATAAACTGGAAAAGTTTTATCACAAATTAGTTTGAACTAAAGAAAAGTCCTGTTGCTTCATCTGTTAACAAGTAGCTCCACAAAAATTACAACTAGAATTGTGCCTATAATTATGACATATAACTGTCCCATATGCATGACATGGGACAAAAAAAGCTTCGACCTCTAAGTATGACCTTGACCTTTGAGCTTAGAGCATAACACATTGTTTTATGATGGTTGAACATTTTTTGCCAAGTTATTTCAAAATTTATTTAAAAATAACAAAATTATATTAACCAGAAACTAATTTGGCAACATTTAACATTTTTATGTAGACAGTGACAAGGTAAAAACTACATGCCTAACCAATAACAAGGTCAGGTCATTAAATAAAGATATTAATAACTATAATATTTACCTATTCTCATTCCTGGACAGGGATTGTTTTAACTTGACAAGTTCTTTCTCCACAGATCTCATTTCCTCACTGGTTTTTAGTAACTGGAAAAAGAAAGAAATAAAATAAAACTGAATTTTCATAATGCCAATTGAGTGACTTAACTAGAAATATTAGAAATATTCTTCAGTACAAATGTTCTGCAGTTAATCTATGACCTCCAAAGTGTTAACTTGACCAGATATACTATGGAAATAAAAATTGTTTCCTCAGATTTATAGTTTGGTGATTTTCAAGCTTTACTGATGGGGAAAAAGTCGGGTGCACCCATTATGAAATATTTCAGACTTGAGCAGGTACCTGAATAGAACCACTAACTGTTTGTATGCTAGAATGATAGCTTCCTCACAAGATAGAATCCAAAATCCCTGTTGGGATTCAAAGTCAAAGCAGTCAGGGGGCAGGTTATTAGGGGTCAAAGACCTTAAAGGGACTCCACTGAGGTTTTTGACGTGAAGGGACCGGAAATAATTTTTCACTAAATGTATGTCTAGACCAGTAACTCATGTACAAAATTTCAGATCATTTGCTCACTCCGTTTCCCAGAAATAATCAATTTTATAAATGAAAACTCTTTTAAAAGCACTCAAATCAGCCAAAAATCGCATAAAAATTGATTATCAATTTAATAACGTGTATATTTATATATTATCTATTGCTTGGTTTCAAATTTGAATGTTCCAGTTGATTTAAGAAAGAATTTCAAAAATTATTATTTTAAGGCTATTGGACCTCAGTGGAGTCCCTTTAACCACTCGGCAAAAGATAATTTACTTATTAATATTTACTTTTTAAATCATCTTTTTACGTGTAGACCAGTGTAGGAAGTATATTTATTTTTAGGAGTTATTATGCCATAAATAAACATGCCCATTTTCTCTCTTTGCTATGAATAAAAACTCTGAAAAACATTATATCTAAGTAAAAATTGTATGTTTTCTTTTTATCAACATGACAATTACTTTGTTTGATTACAATTAAGTAGTGACAAAATTTATACTGTGCTGATATCAAAAATGTATTTTCCCAATACACAGCCATTTTTACATTGTCTATGAAACCTTCAATTTATACCTTTGTTCAGTCAGGTGTACTTCATGTTTTAATTAAATCACATTTACTAATGTATCTATCTCTCCCCTTTATCTTATTGTTCGTGTCTTTTATTTCTTCAGACGTAACATCACGCCATACATTACAATCACCCTTCACATGTTTGTATTTATTTTTCCATGGCCTGAAGGGCAATTACCATACACATGAACGTGATTGAGAATTCATTAAACAACTACATTGTATAAACAATCTATTTGTAGATTGTTTAGTTCAGATTGGTTATTATCTATAGGGGGAAATCATTCAGGATGCTATTTTTAACTTTAAATGTTTTTGGCGAAATAATTTTGTTTCAAGTAAAAAAAGGCTGATCTGGTATGGATCAGATAAAAGTCCAGTAAGTGGAAAAAAACACTGAGTTTATACAGTTTGTATCGCCAAATCTGTTTCTTTGTGGTGTTTAGATTTTGTTTTATCGTAAATCGTTGAAAACTTGACAAAAAAAGCCCACCAATATAGACCTGCAAAAATCATTTCAGTGAAAATATTTTAAATTTGTATAATTATATCAATTTATCACTGAACCTGTTTTATTCCCATAAAATCTAGACAGACAGATGTAATGATTAAAATATATAAACATGTTTAAACATGTTCATTTACATCCTGAAATAATTTTAAAGAAACTCAACTGCGGTCCTAAAAACATAAAATCTAAATTTATTACATAGATCAAATGGGACACAATAGTGACTTAAAACAAAAGATATTCAAATACATGTAATAATTAAAATTGTATTTTTTATGCTTTTCTTTTCAATTTGAGTGAAAAGCACTTCAATGCTTTTCACTTAAGGGCCATTAAGATTAGAATAATTATTCTGGAAAAAAAGAAGTGAGCAAATGATTTGAAATTCTGCACCTAAGATATTGGTCTTGACCTACATCAAATGGAACATAAATATCGAAAAATCATTTAAAGTCCCGTCTTGTCACCTCCGTGTAGTCTCTTTAAGAATACTTTCAAAACATTGCTTCACATTATGTTTTAATATGTCAATTTGTAACTGCACTATTTTTATGGTCATAATGCCTAATGACTCCTGCTTGTGGCAACAGCTTCTACCTATTATGCAAGCAGTACAGACCAAGATTAGATGGCACAAATCATAGTCTGCTCTGTCCACCATTCAGTCAGTAGTTATTCTTAAATTTTCCCTAATCAACATGAATGGTTTTTTTCAGATTGAAAGAGGGACAAGTCCATTTCATGATATCTAGTGGGGTTAGGGTACAAGAATATCAGTAATATAGATTATTTATTTTTTGATCTAATTGTTATTTTTTGTTATTTTTTTTTCTCTAGAAATTTCTTACCATGTCTTTTACATGATTGAAATAAGATCCTTTGCCTTTACAATGTGAAATCTTATAATGTTTATATGAATTCCTTTGGCCATGTGAGCTCACGTTCTTTCTATTATGATGATTATATTTGTTACCTCCATTTCACGTTTTGAGGACAATCAAACCGTAACTGTTATTTGCCACTTGTTTAAACAGGTTAAACCATCTTGGATTAGGAACAAAAATTAATTCTTTTCATTATGAAACAAGATATTGCTAATGGCCATGGATGCTCCCTGAAACCTGCACATTTGTCACTGTATTTTATAGACATTGGTCAATAAATACAGACTATATCATGTCATAACATGTAAACCAATATTAAGAATGAAAAAGGAGTTAACCTGTTAAAGTACTCAGTTGATGGTGCAAGCAAATGTGTAAAAACCTATTTTTAACAGTGGTGACATTGACCCAGGTGACCCCTAATTCAATTAAAAGTTCAAGGATGACCGAAGGTAAATACATACCTTATATGAAAGTAATTGATCAATAAATGACGGCTTTGTGAGCAAATGTAAAAATTTGTTTTTAGTAGTGATGACCTTGACGCAAGTGACCCTTACTATCTGAATGCAGTACCACTTGTAACACAGGTGCACAGTTGAGTAGGATAACCTCACAGTTATTCAAAAAGATGAGCTAAAAATTGTCCTAGTCACCCATTAATTAATATGCATCCTTAAACTGAGAATAATAATGTCAATACATTACAAAAATAAATCTTCACATATCTATAACTTTCGACATTACCTGTATATTAATATTCCTGTCTGATTTAGATTTCAAATCATGTTCTGATATTGTTCTTTGCATCCCTGTTTGACCTTTGTTTGACCCTCTGTGACCTTGACCTTCATGCTTGTGTATCAGCTCACTAAGCTTTCCTGAAAAGATGTAAAATGTTATTTTTTGTAAAATCTGCAGCAACTGATAAGATAATTTGAAACAATGATTGGTAAGCTATTAACCAGTTGGTAAGATAATTATCAATTGGTAAGATATTAACAGATTGGTAAAATATTAACTGATTGGTAAAATATTAACTGATTGGTAAGATATTAACCAGTTGGTAAGATATTAACCAGTTGGTAAGATATTAACTGATTGTTAAGATATTTACTGATTGGTAAGATATCAACTGATTGCTAGGATATTACCCAATTAGTAAGATATTAACTGATTGTTAAGATATTTACTGATTGGTAAAATATTAACTGATTGGTGAGATATTAACCAGTTGGTAAGATATTTACTGATTTGTAAGATATTTACTGATTTAGATATTTACTGATTGGTAAGATATAAACTTATTGGTAAGAAATTAACTGATTGGTAAGATATTTACTTATTGGTAAGATATTAACTGATTGGTAAGATATTTACAAATGGTTAAGTTGCATGGTGGATATTATGACTCATTAATGATATATATAAACTTTTCTTTTCATTGTTGTAACAATAAGTCATTAAGCAGGTGTTTAAGCAATTAATTTATATCATAATAAATGAGAGTTAAAAAAGAAAGAAAACAACCACAAGAATAAGGTCTCTATTTTCTTTTTCCAAACAAATAACACCAAAATTTTAATGATGTATAATTCATTTAGCACACCTTCCATGAAAGACCCTAGGTGCCCCTTTTTTAACATGTATTAATTATTGATGACACTTTATGACAACTATGCTAGGGAAATTACATTCGGCATAATATTTTCACTCTAACACTACTATAAAAACATTATATAAGCTTTCAGTTTGTAAATACATGTATTCATTGTTAATTTGCATTTATTCTAACACTATATAGCCTTATATAGCATATAGCCTCTCATCATTTTTTGCATTTGTACTTTATAGTTTACAATTTGTAAACATTTAGAATGATCATCTTGTCAATTGTAAGAAGGAAATTACAAACATACAGACCACGATTTTATAAGGAAATTACATACTAATTTTCATTAGTTGTCCACTTTTTATTGAAATGCATAGTAAACATAAAACTGTCTTCCTCTTTGTTCACTTTTCTTTTTGGCTAATTTGGGAAAAAAATGTTGAGCCTTTAAAATAAAATGAATGTTGAAAAAAAGGGGGAATTCCCCCTTGATCGAGGTGAAACAGTATATAAATAACTTTGACATTGGACAGACTAAACATTATTAAGTTATTGAGACACTAAGTACGTATCCTGCTCAAAACATCGTTTTTATGTAATATTTACGTGTTTATTTTGACCTAAATGTTTATAGACATCTTATTAGGACATAAACTTTCCTTGTTCCGATGACATTACAAAACCTTCTTTGCCGAAAATTGTATAAATACATTTAACAATCATGTTTGATTAAATCTATGGGAATATTAAGTCTTGGATTGTGGTTTAAATGAGAATGTTAAAGTGGATGTGCATATAAAATGACATACACAGTGTTACTTTGTGGAATGCTAATGTGCATACTTTATGAAAACTGCTATGCTTCCATAACAAACATGAGGGACAATCAAACGACAGGGAATAAACAGGAGAATCTTCTTAACAATTCACATTTAGAAAATCAAGGTGAAGGAAAAATACAGAGAAACAATGTCAGAAGATCCCTTCAAGGTCACTTGCCTGTTGCTTGGCAACACATGTGCACTGCTGAGTTCAAATTTGTGACTGGTTCAAATTTCACCAGTCAAAATGCAGTATTTGTATCATGTGATCTAAAGCAGGATGATCATTGGTCACTTCAAACCTACAGGGACTGGATATCAACCAATGAGAAGCAAGTTTACAGTGCCATACCAATAGAAAGAGATGTGCTATTTGCATTTGAATTTAAATGTTCTCACCAGAATGCAGAAGTATCTCTACCATGGCCATTGGCAGCAAAATACCTTTGGTTTGTTTCTGTTTTTAACTGTACAATTTTAGACTATTTGGAGGAATATGATACTGAAGTTAGTATACCAGACACACTTAAAGTGGTTGAATTTGTAAACTCAGAGTTAGAAATTAACAGCGAAACATTTTTTGAGATTTTAACAAATTATGGAAATGTAAGCAAACAGTATGATTGTGGAAGCGAGGTTCTGGAGAAATATGTCTTTAGAAATTGTACAGAATACTTCAGTGAGTTGATACCAGACAACACTGAACTAGTTTTCTTAGAAGCTGAAATAGGAAAAAAGAATATGACAGTTAAAGACACTGATATACTTGAAAAATCGGGAAAATCTTTAAGTAACAACAGTGGTAACATTACACCACCCAGTTTGATTCCCTCTGAAGAGAAAGAAATGCTGGATACAATTGCAAGGTTTGGTCAAGAACACAATAAAGTTGAACATCATTGCAATTTCAAACATCTATTGTACATAGATCAGAGTTATACTTCTACAACTGCTAGACATCGAAGTAATCTAATGACAGACAGATATATTTATCCTGCTCTGCAGTACTACAATATGTCACATTCCAAGGTCAGTCAACTTTCTCCAATGTTTCTTGACTGGAGGAGATATTTTCCCAAAATGAAGTATCTTGATCTTTCTTATAACAAAATCAAGTATTTTTCAACACTCACAGATCATGGGTTACAGAATGGCAGTAAAGGTGTCCTTGACCTTCGCCATAACAATATAACAACCTTGACCTCTGAAGACATTGACACACTGAGAGTGCACAGCAACACAGTTTATGTTGACCTTAGAAATAATCCACTTCACTGTGACTGTAAACTAACTCACTTTGTCAAGGAACTGAAAAATGATTCAAATGAAATTTTAAAGAATTATAAATATCTTCAACATATGAAATGCTCAAGTCCAAGCCAATGGAAAGGATATGTAATTTCCGAGTTAGATGTAGACTTTTGTGAGGAACTTGAATTGATTATCCTGGCTGAACCACTAGCTGTGCTTGGCACATTTGTTGCCCTCTTGATAGTTATTTTACTTATCACAATCAAGTGTAGAAAGGAAATCATGATCCTTGCATTTACGAGACTTAACGTCAACCTGCCATGTCGGAAACTCATTAGACATGAGAAAAAGGCTTACGATGCTTTCATTGCATACAGTGAGCATGATGGGCCATGGGTTATTCAAACATTATTGCCAAGATTAGAAACGCCCTTGGAGAATAATGGGCCTGGGCTTAAACTGTGTATTCATCATAGAGATTTCCCTATAGGTGGCAGCATTGCTGAAAATATCCTTGAGAAGGTAAAAGACAGTCATCACACTGTCCTTGTTCTGTCCAACAACTTTCTCCTCTCAAACTGGTGTAGGTATGAATTCAAAACAGCCTTCTCTCAGAGCTTGATGGAAAGAAAGCGTCATCTGATCATGATCATGAAAGAGGAGCTTGACAAACACTTGATTGATGCTGATCTGAATAGGTGCTTGAAAACATTCACTTTTGTAAAAGCAGATGACAGGCTGTTCTGGGATAAACTGATATATGCTTTAAATGATAAGGCCAGACAACATAAGAATGGCCAAAAAGACATTCAAAATGGGATAGCTGACAATGAGAACAGAAAGCCTGTAAACCAAGAACATGTTATAAACGTAATCATTAGAAACAATGATGTTAATGATAATATACCAGGAGCTCTTGTGAATAAAGGTACCAGAAACAACACTGAGATTCAAGGGGAGAGAATAAATCCTGCCTTCATTCAAGATGGAGTATGGAAGTTGTGATGACTTCAAACTTAAGACTAATTTTCATAACAATATGCTTCATAATCATTTGTGCCAATATGCAAACACTGATAAAACTCCTGTACGAAGTTCAGATTTTACTATGCAACATGGCTTTCAAAAAATATATGGATATATTGTGACAAGGTATGTGTAGCTTTATGTGGAACAAACAATTTCTTATTACGAGAAAAACAAAAATGTTGAAATGGAAAGTTTGTTTGTTATATTTTTACGCTCGGCCGGGTTTCAAAACATTCAAAACATTTTTGGGGCATAAGATAAACTAAAGGGCCTATGTACATGAGTCATATAACTTACTTACTTAATAACTTACTTTCAATGGTATTAAATTCTGGAAGAGTTGCTATGTTAACAAAATAAATGCTTATACATTAGAAATGCATGGTAAATGTGTTACTTTCAAATAAACATATTGTTAAAAATTGACTTTTAAGAAAAATATACCTTGAGCCCCATTGATTTATAATGCACAGGTGACATTGAATATTCTGAATAAAATTCAAACAACTTGTAACATGGGTTGAAATGTAAAAACTTTTTTTTCAACTGACTCTTTCCAAACAAACTCCTAGATCTTAAAAATACATCAATTAGGCTATTTTACTTTTTTCCTGTTTTTGAAAAGCCTTAATTGTACAAGGTTTTCCTTTAAAAGCAAAAGAACTTTCATTGTTTATGAACAAAAAGTTAAGTGTATAAGTGTTATATTATCTTGAAATAAGTATAACAAACAAAGGTCTTTTAAATACGGTAATTATATCCCGAGCAAAAGTTACAAAATAATATTGGTTCTAATTAAAGACCCATAAATTTATTAAATTAACAAGAGCTGTTAAACAGTCAACCAGCCACCCATGGTATAACAATTTATGCAAAGGACTTTTTATACAACAATTTTTTCTGGCAAAAACCTTAACAATCAAATTTATTAGGTTTATGCACTTGATAATGAATAAAACTGTGGCCTAACTTTTGAATTGTGCACATGTGAGTATTAAAAAGAACACTTAAACTTGACTATTATTTTCAGACAACAACTTTTTCCACACTGAAGAACATGTCTTTTAACTTGTTTACATGGTTTATACTACAAAACCATAAATTTGGTACTTTTACATTTGCATCTACTGTCTTTACTTATAATTTTGTCATTCAATCCTTTGTCAACACCTTATAACTACGAAGAAGTGCTTTGCATGGATGTATTTTAAACGAAGTTTGTAAACAATTTATAAAGGTGTCTCTCAATTGAATTAATCATTAAAATGCATCTATACCAATGTAAGAGTTACAAACAGCCCTGAATAACAATTAATCATACTGTCTGATCTAAAAGCCATACATTATGTGGGCAACACCAAATTCATTCACAAGGCGAATATATTTGCCAAAGTGAAGAGGAATAAAATTTACACTTAAATTTCTAAATCCCTCTAAAATTGCATTTTAAACTATAAGTTACAGTTTACATTTAAATTTTAAATTTTAAGTTAAAAATCTGCTGACTCGACTATTTTTTCAAAATACCTGAAGCACAGTTTTATATATATAGCTATTTTGGGTAAAGACAATTTTATCTGCTTATTTATTCATACACTTATACCGAGGTCAAGATACATTGTATCTCTTTCCGAGATGCCAACAAGGTCATATATCCACAAGAAAATGATATTATATAGTTTTACATACAGATGAAAAAATAATAAACAGTGAAATTTAATCATCTTTTTAGTTTAAAATTTAAATGCACTGATGCCAAAAATAAAGATACATACATGTTCATGATTATACTACTCAATAATTAATATTAAAAATTTCAGACTTTTACCAACATTTAAAATCTCCAAATTCATCAAAATTTAAAATCTGGACATTTTCCACATTTAAATTCTGGACATTCATCTACAGTACATTCAAAATTCTGGACTTGCATAAAAATGCAAAATACCATGGACATTCATCAATATTAAAAGTATAAAATTCATCAACATTTGAGTCTAGAATTTATCAATTTTTTAAAATCCTTAAATCAATATACATGTATAATAATTATAAAGGTCTTAAATTTGCTAAACATGTCATAGTTTGAAATTTATCAACATCTTTTTCTGCCATTTGAACATATCCCTTAAAAATATTGATATTTATCTAACCATATTCCTAGTTTCATTGAAAAAACCTTTAATTTTAGCTGTACTAATATGTTTTTTTCATACATTGTATAACATTGTAAGATCATTCAGCAGATAAAATTCTATACTAAACTGGTCAAATAGCCACTTTCCATTATTACTGGTGGAGAAAGACCTTGTTCCTTGAGTTAATGCATAGAAGGGCACCTGAGTTGAACCAACATTCATTAAGCTAGCTAGAATGAAAGAGAGAATAAGAAGCAGGATTCTAACCCACAGCAGAGGGCCTGAAGACCGTAACCACTCAGCTAAGGGTATACAATGACCTGCTTCTGTACTGGTAGCACAGGCAAGTCATACTAATTTAACATACTCAGGTCTTGTGCAGTGCCAAGGAGAGCATTAATAAACTGGAAACACACAAACGTCTTTTCATATTCAATTAAAGTCCTTATATGTTTACTTTAAACATTTTATTATATATTCAAAAGAGCAGAATGTTTACTGTGGTAACAATAGCTTTGATAAAAACAATAAAACTGCATTTGGGACATCAAATATTATCTTTGTTTATTTATTTACCAAAAACCACACATTATATCTTCGCTTGGGATTTTATGAATCTGCAGATGAATAATTGGTCACAAGTCAACAACTTCATAATACATCAACAACCACATAGGATCAAGTAATAGGTATATTTTCAAAATAGAATTTTAGTGTTACGATCATTTGCCTACAAGTTAAATGTATCAATGTATCAAACTGTGCAATTAAAACTGTCATGGAGTTACTGAACGGGACATTATACTTGCATGTTTATTACAAAATCTAAAGTATAAACATCATCGGTAAAAAAGTGTGTCTTTCTTACATGCAAACTTCTATATCACTGGAAATGAAACTTATCAGTTTTTAACATAAGCTGTATTCATATAGTGCTAGAATAAGCTGGATTTAAACATTTAAAGACTGACCAAGATCTACTAAGTTTTGTTTGTGTGTCTTTATTACATGTACTAAAATTACATTATTCAACCAGGATATTACCTTGGTTTTTTTCCACCCTTTATTATGATGCTCGTGATTTTGGGATATTTATTATAAGGTAATTAGAAACCAATATTTTACCTTAAGATAATTTGTTACATTTTCATACTAAATACTTGCCTAAAAGACACATAATTTAAAAGTCATACTTTTACAGTAAAACCTGAAGATCATTTATAAGTTAATTGCATTTATAAGTTATATTTTATATTAAAATCACCAGATCATCAATAAGTTATGTCCTATGTCCGCTACCGGACATTTGTCCCCCAAGACAGTTGCCCCGCCAGACATTTGCTCCCTTTTTTTTTTTGCAGTGGCAGACATTTGCTCCCCTCATGTCTTTGGAAGGGTAGGACATTTGTCCCCCCTAAAATATTTGAAGGGTGGACACTAAAATATAAACAATTTGCTTTTACTTTCATATGTTTTTCTGAGAACTTTTCAAGATCCAGTTATATGAAAAAATGCATTGCAAAACCCTCTAAAATTAGTTAGTGTTAACGGGGAAAGCATTGCAAAGCTCTCTTAAATAAGCGTCAAAAATGTGCCTTAAAAATTGACAGTTCTTACAAGAAATATATTTTTCCATGATTGATAAGGATTATTATAAATGTAACTAGAAAAGAAGTTAACTCTCATTTATCTTTATTCTAAGGTTTATACAAGTTGTCAATTTTCATTTTCAAAGACAATAACTATTTAAATTGATTTTTCTAAACAATTTGATATATTAGGCTGAGATTAAACAACCCTGTCCCAAAGAGTAAGATTATTGTCTGACGCAACATTTCTAAAATAGTAACCCTGATAATGACCTTTACATAGGGATGATGGAGTCATGAAAATATTAATAAAACATAACAATGTACATGTAATATAAAGAAATATCTTAATGGTCATATTATTTTGTCTAAAACAATGTCATGTGACAATTAATATTTATTATGTAATGGAAAGTGACAGAATTGACTGAATCTATAGAATGTTACAAAGGCTATTATACCTTAAAGCCCACCAGTAGCATATCTTTTTTAATTTTTCTTTAATCTACATAAATAACATAGCCAAATATTGTGTAGTGGTGGGGCTTTAAGTGTTTTTGACTCATAAATTTATGATGGTGAGCAATATTCAATCAGTCGGCCAGGCTTTAAATCCCAGGCGGCCGATAATACTGGAAATTATATTTAGAATATTTTCTGCAGCTGACATTGCCATAGCAAATGTTTTCTATAAATAATATTTTAAAAGGATAAAACCAGAAAAGGAAAAATGATTTTTTTTATCATAAATTTTTTATCATAAATTTATAACAAGACTCGCATGTGATAGCTTACATTAAATTTTTATATCATTCAGGAAATATTCAAGCTGTTGTATAATTATCTGGAGATGTGACTCTTGCATGTATTTTGCTCTGCTATTTCATTATGTGTTAAAGAAATGCCTAGAAAGGGTGCTTAACATAGCTTAAGGTGCCCAGGGTGTCACCCATCATATCTTGCAGGGGATTTTACCTGAAGCTAATGGGATCATAATTTAAGCCATGCATAGGTGATACTTTAAATGTGTTTACATTTTATCACATAATCACAATCTATCATCAAATTCAGTTTTTTTTTACTAGTGACTCATCCTCAGTTTTAATTTATTTTTTTCTTCACTTTATAACATTTTTTTTTGTTCCCACATTGTACTCACCAAGTTCTTGTCTTATGCATAGATTCATCACATAACAATTAATCTAATTCAGTTAATTTATCTTGATTTAGAGAAAAAAAATAAAAAATAAAAATAAAAAAAGATTTATTTTTTTTAAAACC